ATATTTTAATTTAATATATAAAATTTCCTTAAAATATACGGATATATATATCTCAATTATATAAATATAGGTTCGTACAAAATTCCGCGTTCTAGCTTCAATTTAGACCACAATGTTTTTCCCGCATATTTCCGTATAAAATAATTATTTTAATATTTCTTATAATATATGGAGATATATTTCGATTGTTCAGGCTCGTACAAAATATTCGTCCGCATTCTAAATTCCATTTGGTTTGCGATATTTTATTTAGAAATTTTTATATCTTATGAAATTTTAATATAAATTTCGATTAGGTAGATTCGTACCAAATATATATTCGTGTTCTGGGTCAAGTTGGGTTATTGCATTCTTCCTGGCAATTTCCATATACGTAGTATATAGGTATGTGTTTCGACTACGCAGGATTATATAAAGTATGTCCGTATTATTCCGTATTGTGGGCCCAATCTGGATCGCAATATTTCCCGTATAAATTTCGATATAAATTATTTATTTAATATTAGTTAGGATATATGGATATATGTTTCGACTATCCAAATTCGTATAACATATTTTCGTATTTTAAGCCCAATCTGGGCTGCAATATTTTTCCTGTATTGTAAATTTCCATATAAATGTTTTTTTTTCTAATATTTTTTAAGCTATGGGGATATGTATTTCGATTGCGCAGGCTCGCGCAAAGAATCCGTGTCCCTATTCTAGGCCCAATCTAATCTAGGCCACGCTATTTTTCCCGCAAATTTCCATATAAAGTGTTTTTAATATTTCTTGCAATATAAATATTTATTTCGATTAGATATATATATATATATCCGCATTGCAAGGCCATGTGGTGGTATGTTGGTATTGGGGTATGTATGTATGTATGTATGTATGTATGTATGTATGTGTGTGTGTGTCTGTACGTACGTATGTACGTATGTACGTATGTACGTACGTACGTACGTACGTACGTATGTATGTAGGTAGGTATGTATGTAATGTATGTAATGTATGTAATGTATGTAATGTATGTAATGTATGTAATGTATGTAATGTATGTAATGTATGTAATGTATGTAATGTATGTAATGTATGTAATGTATGTAATGTATGTAATGTGTGTAATGTGTGTAATGTGTGTAATGTGTGTAATGTGTGTAATGTGTGTAATGTGTGTAATGTGTGTAATGTGTGTAATGTGTGTAATGTGTGTAATGTGTGTCATGTGTGTCATGTGTGTCATGTGTGTCATGTGTGTCATGTGTGTCATGTGTGTCATGTGTGTCATGTGTGTCATGTGTGTCATGTGTGTAATGTGTGTAATGTGTGTAATGTGTGTAATGTGTGTAATGTGTGTAATGTGTGTAATGTGTGTAATGTGTGTAATGTGTGTAATGTGTGTAATGTGTGTAATGTGTGTAATGTGTGTAATGTGTGTATTGTGTGTATTGTGTGTATTGTGTGTAATGTGTGTAATGTGTGTAATGCGTGTAATGCGTGTAATGCGTGTAATGCGTGTAATGTGTGTAATCTGTGTAATCTGTGTAATGTATGTAATGTATGTAATGTATGTAATGTATGTAATGTATGTAATGTATGTAATGTATGTAATGTATGTAATGTATGTAATGTATGTAATGTATGTAATGTATGTAATGTATGTAATGTATGTAATGTCTGTAATGTCTGTAATGTCTGTAATGTCTGTAATGTCTGTAATGTCTGTAATGTATGTAATGTATGTAATGTATGTAATGTATGTAATGTATGTAATGTATGTAATGTATGTAATGTATGTAATGTATGTAATGTATGTAAATATATGTAAATGTATGTAAATGTATGTAAATGTATGTAAATGTATGTAATGTATGTAATGTATGTAATGTATGAAATGTATGTAAATGTATGTAAATGTATGTAAATGTATGTAAATGTATGTAATGTATGTAATGTATGTAATGTATGTAATGTATGTAATGTATGTAATGTATGTAATGTATGTAATGTATGTAATGTATGTAATGTAATGTAATGTTATGTAATGTTATGTATGTATGTACATTATGTATGTACAGTATGTATGTAGAGTATGTATGTACTGTATGTATGTACTGTATGTATGTATGTCTGTATGTCTGTATGTCTGTACGTGTGTACGTAGGTACGTAGGTATGTAGGTATGTAGGTAGGTAGGTAGGTATGTATGTCTGTGTGTGTATGTATGTATGTAGGTAGGTAGGTAGGTAGGTAGGTATGTAGGTATGTAGGTATGTAGGTATGTAGGTATGTAGGTAGGTAGGTATGTATGTAGGTAGGTAGGTAGGTATGTAGGTATGTAGGTATGTAGGTAGGTATGTATGTATGTAGGTAGGTAGGTAGGTATGTATGTCTGTGTGTATGTGTGTATGTGCGTATGTATGTAGGTAGGTAGGTATGTAGGTATGTATGTATGTATGTATATATGTATATACACCACCACAGGGGCATCATACCCCCCCCCATCCCATGGGGGGGGAGGGGGGGTGGGAACACGGGACACGGGACCATATATATATATATTTCAAAAAAAAATATTAGCCATATAGCAATAATTAACAGAACCGATTATACCGAATCGAATTTTCATATCAAAAAGATTCGAACAAAATAATAACCGATTGGAACCAAACCAGCTAATTGGTATTACAATATTTTTTCCATAAAATCATTTACATCTATATAACTTATACAACGTTCTTATTTATCTTACAACTAAAAAAACAAATAAATAAATCTAATTTAACGGAAAAAATACAAACACACACACAAATATATATATATATATATTATATTATATAAAGGTATATAAACAAATAATCAAATATATCAATAAAGCATGCAAGTATATGCAATTATACTCCCCCTCTATCTCTATTTATCACACACACACATATATATATATATATGTATATATTCATATGTATATACACATGTATATATATATATACACACACATATATATATATACATATGTCCCTCCACCTATATACACAAACTCACAAACACATTTAAAACAATGCAACTGTACCTGTATGTGTATATAACTTTTTGATGTGGTTCGAAGCAAGCAAAATTAGCAAAACCTGCAGCACGGCTGGTGACATGCGAATAGCTTGGGGTTTCTGCACCATCAGCAAGCACCTGAATGTAGGCCAGCTTCACAGGGCGCCACTGGCCGGCACAGGTGGCCTCCTGTGTCAGGATTATCACGCCAGCCAGGATGGGCAAAAACAAAAAATCGAAACAAATCGTATTTGAAGTCACTGAAGATATTGACAGGTCCCTCTCTCTCAGAGAGTTCAAAGCAGCTGAAGGCGAGCAGATTGACATCTCTTCATCTATCCAACACTACCAGCCGTCACCCAGTCATCAAGACGTACATGAAACAGAACCAGTCCATAACATTTAAACGTTGCGGCGACACCTTCCAGTAGCTGAGTTCCGCTTTGGACCACTCGCTCGCTACCTTTGGCTGCAAAGCCTCAACACTTGGAGAGGCAACTCAACACTTGGCAGCGCTGTGGAGCAAAAATCTGGCTTTTTTTTGGTTCTGCCTCAAAGTCCTTCCAAAACTTCGGAGTCAAGAGGTGCAGTTTCCAGTACTATCAGTACTACAAACACTTCGCTGCAGTGAGGCTGCAGTTCCCACAGGCCTTCTACATCTCCCAACAACAGGGCAGCATCGCAGGCAGCTGCCACCGCCCAGCTGAATGCCTCTCGATTGCAAAAGCCGACTTGCAGTTTATACTTGAATTAATCCACACATCATCGTCTCAGCAGATGCAAAAGTGCGTATCTTGTCTATTCCACTGTATGTCGTGAACCAATGGTTGAACATGGCGAAATGCAGCGGGAAAAACAAAGCCCATGTTGCTAGCCTTTCCATCCGTTCCTTCTGCTTGGCTCGCCAGTGGCTGCAGAAAGAAGGCTAAGCCTTCGTGACAAGCGGCACAGCTCAAGGCGGAGAGGAAAAGAACCAGCCGTGATGTTTCCCAGCGAACATGTGCCATGCCTGGCAGAAATGCATGAAGAATCGGCCCTTCGTGCCGCTCCTTGGAATTTGGACGAATTTGGATGGGGTGCAACAGAAAAGAAACCAACCTCTTGGCTGCATGTCCTGGCCTGGCCGTCAATCACGATGGCCAGCAGCAGCCTTCCAGCTGGTCGCTCTTTTGCCAAGCATTGCCAAATAATCCAAACATTGCAAGGATCCCACCTCCTGGGTCCGACTCCAAAGGATTCACAAAGTGCTGCGTAAAGATCCTGCCGGAATGTGCGTAGAACATGTTCGATCCAGGTCTTAACAGTTGCGAGGTTTGGGGGAGCGTGACAAAAAGGGCCACACTATGCCACACTCAATTGCAGTTTGCGCCCCACTGTCTTTTGCTACACGAGCAGGGGGTGTGCGTGGAACAATCTTTCAAGCATAGCACAAACACTGTGGACATCTGTGGGCTGTGGGATGCTGTGAGAATCTGTGCATGGCATAGCAAAGTTTCCCGGCCTCCACTTCCCGCAGTTCATCAGTGCACGCACAGCTTCTGATGAACAAAAGGTCACGAACCTGACAAAGCGCAAGAGCCATGGGCCTAAACCCAAATGCATCCCTGGGGGTTCAATCTGGCCCTCTTCAGCACAACCATGCACAACCATAATAACCATACCTACACCACAACCAACATATACAAACATCAGCTTTGCTATTGCTTGATATCTTGGATGAACACGTCTTGGATCACTCGGGCTCTTGTTGCGCAACACAATAAGGTTGAGCATCACTCACATGGATGACAATAAAAGCAGGAAACACATACCGTCAAGACATGACGCTGCGCAACTGAAGCAGCACCTGCGTCGAGGGATTCTGAGCTAAGTGAAGAAAGCGATTAATCCTTCGCATGAGTTTGTCTCGGACTTCTGCCTGACTGACCTCAACTGCTTCAAACTGTTCTGGGGAGATTTGACATCACATCTAATCTAGGATCTAAGGATGCAAGGCTGGAAATACCAGAGGAGTGAGGAGGATAAAAAACTCTGATTATCTCTGATTCATGTTTTTTCTTCCCATAAATCTGGCAGCCACTCGTGCAAACAAGGCTTGTGCATCATCGTGCCAAAACGAGTGCTGCTCCGCTCGATGAACGGTCATCCTTAGACATCAATCCATACCGTGTACCTGTATTGACACTGTACTGTGTGTGTGTGTGCCATGTTGTTCTTTAGTGTGCAAACGAAATGACAACATATGACAACAGGATATAACAGGATCTCATTGCAGCTGCGGGACCCTGCTTCCGCCAACTCGTATTTCTTGACCTCGATTTGTTCATGAGACAATGCGGAGAAGGAATCTGAGAAACTGAGAATTGCCCCTTCACCAAAACACACAACCAAGAAAGCCCCGTGCGCAGCGCAGTGTCTAGAACTGAGAACCCCTTTTCAACTCTCACCCATGAATGAGCTGGAAGCAGAACCTCAAAGAAGTTGTCGAAACCATCCCTGAGGAAACCTCTCAAGCCCTTCGAGGTAGTTCGAATCCTGGAGGCAGGACAATGGAGTTTGCGACATCTTGCGACCATCTGCATGACCCTTCGGTGCTGTCCCACCTTTCTTGGCGCGTCTAATGCTTTCAAAACTCCCAACGAAATCACCACATGAGTACTACAATGAGTACTGTCTTCAAGGCTGCTCAAGGTTTCTCAAGGAAGGCTTCCAAGCTCCAGTCCAGTCAAATGGGAGATGCGCATCTCCAAGACCAAGTCGCTGAATAGAAAACTTCCTCCGCTGCAGATTGGGGCCAATCTAAAATCTAAAATCATGTCTGAATCCGACAGGAATCCGAGGCGAACTTGGGCGCGGACATTCCACAAAAGGAGCCTTGGCGGCACACCAGTCCGCTGAGATCACAAGCGGAGATTGAGTCATTAATGTCATTATCGTCTTGAATCTTGAAATTTGCGATCATTTGCATTAATATGCATTATATGAATTATATGAATTTAAATGATTGCATGTGCATACCTTATAATCTGTTACACACACACATAGATAGATAGATAGATAGATAGATAGATAGATGGATAGATAGATAGATAGATAGATACATAGACACATAGATACATAGATACATAGATAGATAGATTAGATTAGATTAGAATTATATAGATTAGATTTGGTTTAGATTAGATTAGAGTAGAGATTAGATGAGACGAAATTAGATTAGATTGGATTGGATTGGATTGGATTAGATTAGATTAGATAGATTAGATAGATTAAGTAGATTAGATTAGATTAGATTAGATTAGATTAGATTTAGATTAGATTAGAGTACAGATTAGATGAGATTAGATTAGATTAGGTTAGAGTAGAGATTAGAGTAGAGATTAGATGAGATTAGATAAATTAGATAGGTTAGATAGATTAGATAGGTTAGATAGATTAGATAGACTAGATAGATCAGATAGATCAGATAGATTAGATAAATTAGAAAGATGAGATAGATTAGATAGATGAGATAAATTAGTATAAATTAGATAGATAAGATAGATTAGATAGATGAGATGATAATATAGATAAGATAGATAAGATAGATAGATAAATAAATTCGATAAGATAGACAAGATAGATAAGATAGATAAGATAGATCAGATAGATCAGATAGATTAGATAGAATAGATTAGATTATCATAGATTAGACTAGATTGGATTGGATTAGATTTAGATTGGATTGGATTCGATTAGATTTAGACTAGATTGGATTAGATTAGATTAGATTTAGATAGATAGGAAGATAGACAGATAGACAGATGGACAGACAGACAGACAGACAGATAGACAGATAGATAGATAGATCGTTAGATAGATAGATCGATAGACAGATAGACAGACAGACAGACAGGCAGACAGATAGGTAGGTAGATGGATGGATGGATAGATAGATAGATAGATAATAAGTAGATTTGTCATCATCTGTCCACGTTCTGTATCGCAGATTGAGACCACGCTGAATTGCTCTGGTGCCCCCTTCAAAGCAAGATAAGCAAGGCACCCAGGGACACCACTTGCAGTTGTTGCAAAGCCTCAGGAAGCCGAGGGTAGTGGCCATCTGAGGATCCTCGATGCAGCCTCGGGTCACCAATGATCCACAGCGCTGGACGGCATCCGGGGCATCAGGGCCACTGGGGCTGCTGCATGTCCAGTTGTTCTGATTCACCGCCCAACCTGCACGGGCCACGTTTGTTCCCTGATGACGTGGGGCTGTGATGGGTTGTGACTTCCCAATGCTGACGGATCATATGGATCTGGCTCCTGCCTTCCACCAGGGGATGCAAGAGCGCGGCCGTGCTTTGCAGCCAGGTGCTCTAAAAACTGGGCCTGCAACAGGTCTGGCGGCAACTTGTTGCCACTCCGACTGGCATTGGAAGACATTGGAAGGCCCATCATCCACATCGTTGACATTCCGAACAAAAGACCCTTGCTGGAAAAGTCTAGCTTGTTAGAAGTCAAGAGCCTGGAACTGGCTTCAGGTCTTTCATAGCTCTCATGATGATTGGAACATCGGCAGTTGGGCTTTCTCTCTGCTAGTTTTAAACATGTTCATTCCCATTAATTAATTTCTTGGATCTACTTCTACGCAGCTGTCGCCAAACACATTTCAAAGTGTGCAGGCAGGCCGCCTCTATTTCTGGAAAGTGATCTTGGCAAAACGGGCCTCAGAGCTCAACCATAGACCAGCACTTGACTAAGTGCAGAGTGATCAATGCATGATCTGAAGATGCAGGGCACGCCCAGTGTTTTCTCCCGCTGCTCGTTGCCTCTGGCTGCAGACCTGGCCCCAAATGCCATCCCATGGCACTGCGGATGCTGACACATCTGCAAGGAACCAATGCTCAGTGCCAGCGCCTTTGTGCAGCCACTTCTGCCTGGTAGAATGAAAGAACCCCATGCGGGAGAACATGTTCTGAATTATCTGAAATGCAATGAGATGAGACCAAAAAGATCCAAAAAATACATCTAAATTGGTCTAAATTGCACAAGTCAATCTCTTGATGTCCCCTTCCATATGACACTTGAGCTGCCGGGGCGTCTCCCTGGCCAGTGGCTTCAAACCATCGCAATCATCCCGGGAGGTATGGAAGTGCAACGTTTGAAAGCGGCACCTGTGCTCGCATCTGTCGTTCACGCCGCTCGCGGGCCTGCAGAGGTGCCACAAGGAATGTGATCATTGTGAATGATCATTGGATGTCATTGAATTCTGCTGGCACAAGCATGAATTTACAATAATTTACACTTGCCAAACAAATTGGAACCACCAAAAAAGAGAAGAACATGGCTGAGCGCAGCTGTGCTTGCAGGCAAATGCGGCCCCACTTCATCCTGCTGCGACGGCGTCCAAACACAGTGCCTTGCGTGCGCGCTCATCTTGAAGATTGCCACGCCTTTCTGCAGCTTCTGCCTGCCAACATGAAGAGCTGGGACAACAGCCCTGAATGCGTGCTTAACCCTTCAGGCTTACTTAGACAATGAGTACACACATGTGTGTCAGAAGCATCATGAACATCATGTTGCATTGTCATTGTCATTGCTCCTTTTCTGGTTAGACTGCAAACTACCTATCTCAAGCATCCAAATCATCTAAAAATGGCAATGTCCATCGTTGGAGGACATGCTGGCATATTAGTTGCTAGTTGCTGAATTCGTCCATCCTCGTCCATGCCAAAAGAATTACGATACGTATAGGCTGCCTTTCGCTTCTTGCTGTCGTCCCACAACGATTTGTCCGGAATACTGTCCTGAGATCCACAATGATGTCGAACTCTGCAGCCTCTCCTAACCCCACCCAGAGCTGTGCTGAAAGGTTGAAATCCAATTGAACCAAGCGTCAGAAATGGCGTCCCACGGCAACCTGTTTGTTTTGACCCACTCAGTGCGCCCAGCTCTTCATATCTGCTCTCAGTGACTTTATGTGACTTGACAGTCTTTATCCCTGCTGCAGCTTGGATACTCACAACATGGAGATGCTTTCCGGCAGGCTATGTAATTTGTGTCAACCTTTTGTATCCTGCGGAAGCCCAAGCACAGCTGAGACTGAGATGAATGATCACGCAGTCAAACCATATCAACAAAGCAATTTCTTTGCCAGAACGCACTCAGGAGCTAATCCAAACATTTTGATCTGTAATTTGCACATCTTATCTTTTTTATTTCTATTTTTTTTATCTTTCTGAATCTGACATGGCCCACATGATGCAGCCAAAAACTGCTGGTTACCCTGAGTCGAATGAGTCAATCCTTTCCATGTGACTGGTGGTCAGCTCGAACCCTGATGCCAAATTCTCCCGGATATGGAGTGGCTGGACCGACCTCGTGACCATCGGTTCAGCGCAGAAAGGCAAACATTGCTAATGGAAAGGACGCGGAAGAACAAAGCGCTTGGAACGGACGAACGGTAGCTGCATGCAGTGTGCCTTGGGATTGGAATATAGCCCATTTGCATGCACCAACCTGCGACTTGCGGTATGCTCAAGTGTTCAAGCCAAGATAATAATGCATCAATCAAGACGTATTGAATCAAAACAAATGAGGCTTTCATCTTGACGCATGACATCACATGACATTGTCTTTGAGTTTCTGAATCAACTGCTTCTGGTTCCCCGACCCCAGCTATTGGCTATTCCCAACGCAATCCCAAACATATGTTGTGCCCTGAGGAAGATTCATGCTGACTATCCATTCCACAATCTCGAAATATTTCACCAAGCGTCGCGCTGCAACAGCAGCCTCTGTGACTCCCAGTTCTTCGGCGATCGCAGCAACATCCTGTGGTGGGCTGCTGTGGCTTATTACGCGGCCAACTTGGCGTCCAAACATCAACTGGGTACAGCTTGGGGCTTGCCGCCAAGCATCAGTCTTGCCAAACATCTCACCTCTTGCCAGGGGCGCCATGCACATCGTTGCGATCCCATTTTTCCTCGGCAACCAACCCCAGCTTTGCAGGGCACAAGAGAACAGCAGCGGGCTGCAAAACGATGTACTTCGATAGCCCTCGGTCCTGTGATACTCAGCCAGGTCAGGCAGTTGCCTCCAACCTGTCAGCCGGCAGTGTCTAGTTGCATGGGACATTTCCTACCTGCAACCATTGTAGCCATTGTGCTAATTGCTTCACTACCAGAGTGCAAACATCCTTCTTGCGACGAGACAGGAAGGCGATAGATATACTAATAGAATCTAATAGATACATATAGATACCAATCAAACATCCTTCATCATCAAAGCTTACACAATCTGCCCGCACAGGCTTGAACTGAGCAAGAAGCAGTGTATTTCTACTTGGTTCACCTGTGGGAGCTCCAATCCAGACAGTCCTTGGAAGACAGTGGCAAAGCCTCCACGAGAAACTGCTGATTCAACTGGGACCGCCAGGAAGACTCTGCCAATAAATGACATTTTATGACAGTCTATAATTCTATACAAACAGAAAAAACTCTGAACAAATCTTGAATCATTCAAAATCTAAATAGCGTTGCTCACTCCATAAGTCCCAGCCGGGATACTCATACCCTCTAGTTGTCCAGCGCCAAAATTTGACACACCCAAGGCACCTCAAGCTGCGAAGGAAGTGACCATTCCTGGTGAAAGATCGCACCATCTGCGGTGACTGTGCAAGCTAAGTCTCGGATCAAACCTTGATCGCGAAGCTCTATCAACTTAGACCATACCTGCGCCACTGGCTGCGAAACACCTAATCGCACAATAAACCCCGGCAGGCCTCATCACTTTGTCTTTCCCAGGCTTCCAAAACAGTATCCATGGCTTGGATTCTGAACATCCACTTACAGCAGACATGCAACTGCATGCTTTACATTCAAAGAGCTTTCCCCTTTCCCGCCATTTTTTTAACCTTCATCCTCGTGGATCTGCCGACAACACGCCTCCTTGATCTTGCCTCCCCGTGGGCTTTGAAGCAGGTATAAGTCAATGCAGCTGCAATCCAAATTACCTTAAGTCTTGACCAAACTCCCTGCCAAAAGGCTAAGGTGAGAAAAGAGCACATTCAAACACCAAATGCACATTCCTTGAACATTCCCTGGATCGGTGAGAAGCCGGCTTAGTGAATTCTCAAGAGACGCCTGTACGCTTTCAGCGCTGTTATGCGCCATTTGCAACAGCTTCCTGGGCTGCAAATCACCATTTCGATTGCTGACTGAAGACAGGCAGCAATTTATCGTGATGTCACACGAGCGCCATTGTAGTAACCCCGTGACATATTCGGAGATGCAATTGGTTATTGTGGCTTGATAGGACTTGTAGTGCTTTTAATGTGAGGGCCTTTTCAGTGGGTTGCTCACATGCTTGCACTGCCCATTGCCACTTGGAGAAATTACGGCATTCAAGCGTCGTTGCAATGGTCACCTCCGACCGCTTGACGCCCGACTCATGAATTCCTTCGAGAACTGCCTTCTCCATACCTGATCGTGATGATTGTGATGAAGATCTGGGATGCATCGTCTTCGTAAGCCAAGATTCAAACTGACGGAAAATCCAACAGGAACCCTAGTCAAAACTGTTCCTTTTGCCTGAGAACAAGGTGGTGTCAACCAAGCGATATCCAGTTTGCATCGCAATTCGAACAGCAGTGACCAGTCTTCGGCGTCCATCCTCAAGCGTCACCTTCAAGGCACAAAGAAAAGCCACACCTCAAAAAAAATAATGGCAAGGGGGACAATCGCGATGTTTCAATCAGTGAACCATCTACAGAGCGTTTACATATGTACAGTATGTATCGAATTGTAAAGATCTTCTGTAATTGTATAATATACATATATACATATACACATATAATCATATATATATATATACATAATATCTACATTTCAGCAGAGTGTGTGCGTATGTGCATGTGATTGTGTACAAAAATCATTATATATACTGTAATGTTATAAATTATAAATCCAAATTGCATCTAATTCCAATTCGGTGGCCTCTGGCTCTCTGGAGCCGCCAGGGCGTCCCGTGCCAAAGCCCAAGTGCGGCAAGGTCTGCTGTCTACGTAGCTGGATCCTGGCGGCTCCATGGACCCCCAAATCATCCAAACTTTGGCATTTTTGGATTGGAAAACGGATGGTTTTCTGGGGGTGCCCCAAATTAAAGCAGACAGTAACTGTGGACTTGGATGATATCCCGCACTTAGTTGAGGTTTGATCCAAATATCAGGACCCTCATGCTTTCATGCGCTTTCCACAGGTAATATGCGCCCGAATGCGTCCTCAAATTTGTTTGTACGTTTAAGGCTAAAAACTTAAAAGCTTCGTGAGCCACGAAGCTACTAATTGCATCACTTCAATAGGTCAATATAACTATAGATAATTCCAGCGCTGGGAACACATGGAAACAAACAATTTGAAGATATTTTTGGGATGTTTCCCTGTCTATCCATCTTCAATGGGGAGGTCAATGTGAGGTCACATTTTTCCAGAATTACTGTACTACAGTCAGGCCCAAAAGCAGCATTGAAGTGCCACTATTGCCCACACCTCCGGGCTGCGAAGTTGATGCCTGGCAACGAAGCTTTGCACAGGTACCCAAATGCCAGTAGCACATGACTTGGGCGGCTCCCCACAATAAAAATAAAAAACACACACTAGAATAGAACTGGATCATTGAAGTGATCCGACGGGAACTGAATCCCATAAATCCTGGACCTAACCTGATTATATATATATATATGTATAGGACTACGGTGGCCACCAGCTGCGACTTAAATGCGCCCAGGTGCACCACCGAAGTCCTGCGGGTACGTTTTCACGGGTCCCGGGAGGTGTCTTCGTTGGTCACCGACCCCCCCGGGACCCCGGTGACCCCCCGCAATATATATATATATATATGCAAAAGGAAGTATAACAGAAGTTTTACATCTCTTCAGATGTTACACACACACACACAAGTGGCCATCAAAAGAATATGAATTACCGACATGATAAAACAAGTTTACATATTCCTTGTTAGTTTGATTGTTTTGGGGGACCTAGGATATGTATATATATATATTTATTTAACAATATTAACAAATCATAATATTACTTATTGTTATATATATACACCTTTATATAACACCCAAATGGTGACCTAACTTGTGCCCTCTGCTGCCCTTGGCCTGCGGGGGCATCTGTGCGGATGGAAAACCGCCTCCACACTCGGCACAAGGAAGTATCACACTTTTCAATAAGTAACTTCTGAGACTACTGAAATGAATACCCATGATTATCATCATGATTCATCATGATTCCATGATATTCCATGATAATCTCCACTTTTGGCCCTTTCCAGGCTGTATCAAACGTGAATTGTGAACACAAATCTTTCTTCAGAAGGACTCCAGATTCCAAAACGATTGTCCTCCCAACCTAAAGTTGGAAGACGCAAGGACCACAAGAGAAGCTAAACACCGTGTCCGTATAGCACGAGTCTTGCAAGTGTCACGGCTCATGCGCTGCAACTGCTTCGCTCCATTGGCAGGCACAGGCTTCAAATGGTGGCTGCGGTGACCACATCTTAAGCCGATGGCTGCACCAACATCGGAAGGCCTAGATAATGTCCGCGTGCGCATGAACGACCATCACCGGGCACCCTTTGATGCGCACTCTGAGTCAGGGAGGTCATGAAAACCAAAGACCTCCATACCGACAGGCGACACCTCACTCAGCAGCCCTGCAGCCTCAGCATAACACTCAGAAACATGACGCAATGATTGATGCAAATCATGCAACCTGCTAGGTGAAGTTTTTGAAGTTGCAAGGACAACATTGACAGCATTGCCATCCAACGCCAGAGTTTGTATGGATTTGGATTTTCTGACCCTTGGCATATGTGAATGGCAATGCTGACATCGTCTGGATGCAATCCCCCGCCTCAATCTTCCGACAAATGGCACGAGCTCTGGCCACGGCACGGTCTTTGGACAGCGGCACCCTTCGGAAAGCTCGAATGAACTGAGCCATTCTCACTCTGGATGAGGAGTTGGGACCTGCGCTGCCGAAGATCATGCAACTCACAGCTGAGGATTACTGAGGTCCATACGAGAGCCATGCACACATCTCCTTGAACCAGTAGGAAGATGTAGGAAGCTGAAGTGACTAATACGAACGTGGCACGAAACGTCAAGCAGCTTTGACTTTGAAGATCTTTGAAGTATGTGCAGCACTCAGGAGTCACGGATTCAAGTCTGTTGGAATCATTCTGGCATTGCATTCAATGCAAATTAAATCAAAAAGATGCAAAAACCACCAAAGCGGCCAGCTCACGAGCTCATATCTATTTTCCTATACTCAGTACGCTCAGCAATTGGCATGCTCCATGCAGCCTAGGGTCTGGTCCCAAAGCAGGAGGCTGCCCTGCTTCAATGGAATTCGTTGCGCCAAGGCGTAGATCGGGTCCTCACTGTTTCAATGGTCAGCCATGTCAAGCCCATGTCAGCCTTGCAACTAATAGACATTACATGGTAAAAAAGACTACCATATGGAGATATATAGCCAAAAGGAGCATCAGTCACTGCTAGCAAGGCAGTTCAAACCTCCTTTTACAACGCTTGAGGACTGCTTCCGCTCAGTCCTGCTCATGGAACTTGAAGCTGGCACCACCATTGCCAGGATGCAACCAGTTGGACGACTGCCCAGGTTTGAAGAGCCATTCCTTTCCGGCGAGAACAGACCGACAGGAACTGAGACCTTTTCGCGATCTCTGAGCGTCGAGCCGATTCATTGCCGAGTTCCGACTGCCATGCTGCGAAGATATTGTGAAAACCTGGAGAAAACCACACCATTCCCCAACAGGTCTGAAGAATTCTCCATGACTTTCCCTGGAAGCCTGGCACCAGTTGTGTGCCACCATCTTCCTCCGTATTGTCCAGCAAGTTGAGTACCCCCTGGACATGAGGACCATCTTCGGCCTGAATCATCTAATGATCAAATTCTACTGGGTGGCTTAGTCTCTGTTTGCTGAGGCATGTACCCTGGATCGGGGGATCCTCAGTTGCAAATGGAACCGTGGAACCATGGATCATGACATGGGACTCCAAGATGCTTTGACTTCTTCAAACACCAACGTTGGCGCATGCCATATGTACAAAAGATCTGAAAGATCGCAATTGCCCAGATTCTCAAGGGGAAACTCATGATCGTGACCATCTTCATATCGTAGGTCCTCAATGCGAGTATTACCATCCAGATATCCTTGGAGGCAAGTCACGCCAGAAATAATCCAAATAGGAAATTAGGAACCAAGATCTGAAAGTGAACTATCATTAACTTAATTGAGTGTGCGTATATGTGTATATAGATGAGATGGATCCCTATGATTTAGCGCACGCACGGCGACGCAAGTACCAACTCTTGGCCCTGGGCAAAGGGGTTGACTCCAGGGCACTCCAGGGATGCAAATCAAGGTGAAGATTGTTCCTGGTAGGAACTCCGCCCTGCTGTGTAGGTCGGTACACACACCATCGGTCGTGACCTTATGGCGTCCAGATCCAGCCAGGTCTGAAAGCTGAAAACAATTCGAGTCATGCCAGTCCTGAGGCCGGCACTCACTAGAATGCCCTCACCCAAGATTGCAGTCAGAGCGCGGACAACATTGCCTCGGACATCTTGGAACAACAGCGGCAAGCACATTCAAAAAAAACTTCCGGCTGAAAGTCTGGCATAGTCTCACTTGTGACTTCAACATGGCAACAGTCACTGAAGTCTCAACCTTGCTATGGTGCTGTTTTGGCGGTTGCGTAGCAGCTGCTTTGTGAAAATTACCGGGTCTGGAGGCAGCCCGTACCTAAAGTCATCATGAGGCACAAACAGGTGTGGCGCCATGCCCGGACAAACATTCAGGGATGATGGCAGTGGAGGAACGAAACCGTATATCTTATGAACTTGTGCCGATCATTTTGGGATGGGAGCTCCTAGGAGTTCTCTAGCAACTTTCCAGCAGCTGTTCGGGAACTTGGGAGAAGTTCCCCAAAAGTATCTTCCCGAATGCGTAGCAAGGGTTCCCGTCTCACTCTGGGGGTCTGGGGGTTGAGGGTGTGTTCGCTCGACATTGCGTTTACGTCCGCAACCGTTCGCAACCGTCCGCGTGAGGTCACTATGGCCGTGCCTATGGCGAGTTTTGCAACAGCGGTCACTTTTGGAGGTTTCAGAAGTCGCGTAGCCTCGTTTCGCGTGGCAGGCGTGGCGCTTTATGTTTTCCAACATGTTTCATACCGTGTCAAAAGTCTTTTTTTTCCCTCTGTGGCAGGCGCAATGCTTTTGCAACCTCCATCGTCATTTCGCGTGGCAGGCACAGCACTTTAGACGTGTCGCGTCGCGTGTTTTTTTTCGACTTGCATTGTCAGGGCTGCGTCAAGTGGCGACACGGTGCAAATTCCGTGGCGGGTGTGGCATTTTGTGAGATGTGCTGAAAATCGGAAGCCTCGAATGAAACATCGATTTTGAGGTTGCAAATTTTGATGTTCATTAAGAAAACCCGTAAAACCTCGATTTTGAAGCTACACAGTGTGAAAATTGGAGGAAGTCTCGCACGAAATGCTTGTTTTGGTGCTCCAACGTGTCTCGCCCCGAGTCTCTGGTTTTCCTCCAACCTCGCCGTGTCTATTGGGGAGTTGCAAAACCTATCCTGGCTCACGGTGTCGAAGCAAGTTGTACTGTAGTTTTGCATGCCAGGTGTGCCACTTCATGACATTCTCATGTATCTGCAAAGGTGTCGAAAATCATTTTGTGTGGCAGTCGCAATACTTTTGCGTCGTTTTCAGAAGATGAGTTGCATTTTCCGTGGCAGGCGCTTTGGTTCAGATCCGTCGTGTGCAGAACGCTATTTTGCGTGGCAGGCGCAATATTTCGGACGCTCCACACACTACACTTTACACTCTACACTCTACACTTTACACTCCACATCATTCCACACTTTATTCTTGACACTTTACTCTCCACACTCCACACTCCACACTCTAACCTTTACACTCCACACTCCACACTTCACACTTTTCACTTTACACTCTACACATTACACTCCACACTCCTCACTTTACACTATTACAGTCCACACTTTACACTTCACACTTTTCACTTTACACTCTACACTTTGCGCTCCACACTCTACACTTTACACTCCACACTTTACACTTTACTCTCCACACTCCACACTCCACACTCTACACTTTACACTCCACACTGTACACTCCACACTCTACACTTTACACTTTCACTTTATACTTTACACTCCAGACTTTACACTTTACTCTCCACACTCCACACTCTACACTTTACACTCCACACTCTACACTTTACACTTTTACGCTTTTACACTTTTACACTATTCACTTTACACTCCACACTCTACACTTTACCTCCACACTTTACACTTTACTCTCCACACTCCACACTCTACACTCTACACCTTGCACTCCACACTCCACACTTTACACTTTACTTTCTACACTCCATACTTTACACTCGACACTTTACACGTTGCTCTCCACACTCCACACTCTACACTTTTCACTCTACACTTTACACTCCACACGCTTCACTTCACACACCACACCCCCCGCTCTACACTTTACGCTCCACCACACTCCACACTCCACACTCTACACTTTACACTCCACACTTTACATTTTACACTTTACATTTTACTCTCCACACTCTACACTTTACTCTCCACAATTTACACTCCGCACTCCACACCCTACACATTTCGCACTCCGCAATCCAAACTTTACATTCTGCACTTCACACTCCACGCTCCACACTTTACACTTTACACTTTACTCTCCACACTCCACACTCTACACTACACTCTACACTTTGCACTCCACACTCCACACTTTACACTTTTACACTCCACACTCTACCCTTCACACTTTCCACCCCGCACTTCATACTTTACACTTTACACTCCACAATCCCCACTCCACACACTACATTCCCCACTCAACACTCCACTTTCTTCACACTCCACACTTTGCATTCCACCCCATTCCAAATTCCGCAGTCTACAGTGCACTGGTACGGTAACAGGGGAAAAAGGTACAAAAAAAATCAAATATATAGCTTGTTTCACAAAAGCGTTTTACGTGACTGCATCCGGGTTCGTGGGCTGCATCTTTGTTGCTTCTCTCTCTCTCTCTCTACATCTCTACCTCTCTACCTCTCTACCTCTCTACCTCTCTCACCCTCTCCCTCCATCGCCCGCTCCCAGAGTTTAGCCAAAGGCTGGAGGCAAGCCATGGCCCCAATGCCCAGAACTAATGTCTATTGAGGCCATTGTCAACTGAATTTAGGGTGCTGGGATTCAGAGAATTTGACGGAACATCTCATCTGCTTTCCCTGCCCTTCTACCATTTCCGTCATTGTGAACAGGCACGCGTCATAGTAGCGTCCGGTCTCTGTCTCGGACAGTTTCTTCCATGTGTTTGGATCATCTTCGCGAAAACCTGACCTCGCAGGTGGAGACCAGTCACGCCACGCCCGAAAAATGTTTTGGAGGCAAACAATGAAGATGAAATCAAAGTAAGCAAACATGACATAACAGAACAGGACAACAGTACAGAGCAGTTGCATTCGCTTGCTTCCCCAAAGGACCCAAATCAGGGTATGCCTTCCGCTGCCAAGGCACGCCTTCTTTTCCAAATAGCTCCAGATCTCTCTTCGTGTCAAAGCGCACTCGCCATCTGAGATCACGTTTCGAAACACCACAAACCCATACCTAAGCTTCAACATGCAGGCCTTGAAGGAGCCGCGGACAAAATTGATCAAAATCCCACAGCACGAATGTTGTAGCTAGCCATAGTTAGCCGTAGCTGGCTGCCTTCAAGTTTCTGGACCTGCTACAATTGCCAGTAGGCTTTGCTTGGGACTGGTATGCCCATGATCGGCGAAGGTGCTTTGTCATCCACAAGTGGGCAGCGTTCGCATCATCTATCCTTGGATGAATGCCACTTCAATGACAGAAAGCTGGACGCGCACCTCATCGTGGAGTCTTTACCCTGTGGTGTGGTGAATCTTTCAATTGGATGTGCGCTTGTATGTCCAACAACCTTTGACTTGGATCCTCTCGACACAGCAGTCTGCCAAGACACGAAAAAGCATACACGAATTGCCCGTCCAAATCACGAGGGATTTCCATCCAGGGGGGATATGTTTGCCAGCCCCTTCTCAGACTACTCGGTGCCTCAGCGGAAAGAAGCAGTGCTTTTCGGAGGAGGCCTCCAGCGATGATATATGGAAAGGCCGGCCCCAGTCCCAGTTAAAATTCAGGGCGTCCAACTCCAATTGGTCACTTTGCCAGGGGCTGATTTCTTCAATTACTACGGCTGGATTCTGATGTTTGGACCCACCATGTCATCTGGTCAAGACCTCTGCGAACATGGGATGATCACGCAACCTACAGCAAACTACTGTAATTGTTGCATTCAGCGGGATTTTATCCGTCATTGCCTTTTTCACACAACTGATGGGAGATTCGACATGGCGCGGCACTGTCACTGAGGCCCTGACTTGTTTGCTCGCCCTGACCAGCTCCGCATGCCTCCTCTTTAGCTGCTTGAGGTGCTCATGCTCCTGGCCGCTTGAAATCCAGGTGCCACATGGTGGCATGTGGCACACACCCGCGGCTCCTTGGCCAAAAGATGACGGTCTGCCCCAGATCCTGCCGAGCATTGCTCTTATTTTTGGAGAGGCTGAGGCGACTGGGATATGATATAACTATAATCTTTTATATATATGATATATATATATATATACATACATACATGATTATGGCAGACAGTACTGGCAGTAGACCGCTTCGACCCATCTAAACTGAATCCCTGAGCATCTTGGGATCAACGCTAGATTTGATCCGTGTATGCATTTGCAACACCATGGAACTGCCCCTAAACTAGTTGAAGTGATACTTGCCAAGCCACGGGCTAAGTTCTGAACCATCACCTTCTTCTGATCATATTGGGCATCTGCTACAGCAATGGCTGCATGAATATCCTCAGGGACTAGGGATGCTGTGACAAACAGCCACGGCTTCACCAGCTTCAGCATAGCTTCACCGAATATGTCCCCAAAGAAGTCCTTGCATTCACCAGCCCAGTAGGCTGTGACTGTCTGGTTAGCTTCGCTGCTCTCATTCTTCTCAACCATGCAGCGCTTGCCACATGTGGCTAGGAACTCTGCACAAGGTTCATGAACTTGTTTATGAAGGAACGAGCTTAAAGATTCGGGGGTCCAAAGGAAGTGCAAACAATGCATCCAGTTGAAAGTCTCGAGGAGGTATATTGGTCTTGCTCAGGCAACATGCCCAAGAAATAATGAAGTTTTGCTTCTGCGTTGGGGTGGAATGAGGCATACGACATGACATCCCGTGCTGCGTGCCTATGTGGGGCAAAATTCAATGCTTCTAGAGATTTGAAGGCTACAGGCTACCGTGTTTAAACTACTGCATCAGCGCTTGAGCTGTTGAAAACATGGCTTCAAAATAAACCATGTGCATCTGTGCATCCATATGCCATGCCAAATCACATCAAACTGAGAAGTCATGCAAACTCTGGAGTGAAACCAGCCTTTCTGAGGGCACAGCATACCAGGACCGTTTCACCACTTGGAAGTTTCAAACGGACAACCTTCCTTAGCTGAAGCGCGGAAGCTATCTCTAACCCTGAACATGAAAAAATATGAAAACCGCAAGATCTGTTGTTCGTCACTGTTTTCAAATGGAGTTGCTAAGGTGCTAAGGCTGCTAAGGCTGCTAAGGCAAGGATTGCATGACGAGGTTCTGGGTTGGACCGGCTTTTTGCTCCGAAGAACTCAGCACATTTGAAGAGGACACCAGACCGTTGGGGAAAGTTTGGCCAAGGTGAAGCAATTCCCTTTGCAGAGAACATTTCGGCAAGTTTTCCCGTACATGCGATGGCAAAAAGATTAGTGAAACAAAATGAAACAAACCTTTTTTGGAGTTTGGTTTCAGGGTCCAGTATGAGATGGTATGATATGAGTGAGACCAGTGAAGACCTGTAGGAACAATTTCAGCGTTCAACTTTAGTCTGTGATGATGGAACCAAGTCATCAATGGAGGTGACCATTTAGGCCGTCCTAATATCTCGCAATGGTATATATTTCTGCCAAAATTCGATCCGCCATTCGTGAATTTGGTTTAGTCTTGTGGGAGGCGTGCTGTAGTTGCTCGCAGCCAAGCTCTTTGATACAGTACTCCTTGGTATTTTCCTCCCAAGTGGCTTTCCTCCCAATTGTTCGAAGGAGGCATGCTTGTTCAAACTCTTACTTATATATGTTGCATCGTTCTTCTTTGGCGCATCTTCATGAGTGGCGTTCCTGTGGCTCATGCTTTTGGTCAGCATTTTCGAACAAACTGAGCAGGTCAAGTAAAAAGTGTGTACAAGGAGTGTGTCGCTTCTATTGATTGGAACCCCTCCAATGGGGGCTGCACAGGAGCTTCAACACCTCTAGCATTGAATGCACCAGGGTCTGCTTGTTGAACAATTGAACCATTTGAGTCTTGTTATTTCTTAACAGTATCAGCATTGTCTGTCAAGTGTTCAGCTTCGAAGCACCCATGGTTCAGCAAAAAGAAAGAGAAGGTTTTGGTTCAAAGTATGCACGCGAATCTTGAAACGATTCGTCAAATTGCCACACACAAAAGTTGTAATGCACAGCCCAAGTCAGAAGTTGCTCAAATTCAGGCCTGGGCTTTTCTCGCAGCGGCAACCCATGCGCTTCTTGAGTATGGGATGCCAAGCCTCACATCTTGCGGCAGTTCAAGATGTTCAAGTGCCTAGTGAAGCCTCGAAGCCTCGAAGCCTCCATCAAGTTTTGGGCTGGCCTTTTACACATTTTACAGGAATCAGGTCTCTTTTGCTTGCATCAGGCTGTCAGGTTTCCTCCCGCTGAATGGTCTCCCTGCACCTTCCTAGAGTCAACAAGCAGTTGGTGTGCCTGAAAATTCATCGAACTCTGCAGCGCAACCCTGCACAGGTGCAAACATTGGAGCATTTGAACTCCTTCCAGTACACGTCAAGATTTCACATGATTTCACCACATATCCCCACTCACATACAGTAGCCGCTCAGCACAGAGATTCGGGAAAAAACGAAAACCAGAGACTAATCTGAACAAAAGGTAGGTAACAATAGGCAAGCGTGTGGCAGGCTCAAGGAGCACTCAAGGCCTCTTGTGGACAACAAAGCACCGTCTTCAGTTTGACAGAGCCATCAGGGTATGCGTAGCCTTGGCAGAAGCGAATGAAACTGAATGGATTCACTAGAGAATTTGACAGCGGGGACGGATTTATTTGCCCACGCTAGAAATTCAATCAACACGTTTCGTAGGTGTGGGAACCAAATCTCGAGCCACTGACCTCATCTAAGCACTTGCATCTGCTCTAAGCTTTGCACGGTAGGTAGTTCTAGTGACTTTCAAAGCGGCCATCAGTTGAGCCACGCATGGATGAAAACCATCGTGCGCGATGCGTCCCGACTTGGACCAAAGCGAGGAAACTAAATAAAACGACTTACTTGTGAACGGGTGTACGATTATTCAGGTGAATTCATGATCATTCTGTCTGTTTTTGCGGTGCTTCCTGCACAAGGGGAGTCTCGTCAAAACATGTTGACAAGTCTTGAAGATCTTGAAGCTATCCCGGAAACAACAAAATAAATGGATAATGAATCACACATAGACTCGTAGTGCATTCTTGTTTCACTCAAGCTTTCGTTCTGAACGATTACCGCTGTCAGCCAAAGTGCTTGCCTGGCTTGATAACATCACTGAATCGCGCAGGCCATCTTAGCTATTGGCCAACAGTTTGAAGCACTGGGATCAATGCCATGGAAGATGTCAAAGAAATGAAGGTCAAAAAGAGCAACACATACCGAGACCAAACAACTTCGCCTCCCGCACGAGCCACTATTATGCCTTCTAACCTTCGCGCACACAGCTGCTATGAACTTGTTGGCTTTGGAGGCAAACCTGTGAGATTTCAAAGTGGCTGGTATGAATTCAAACCAGCTTCAAACCAGCTCCCTGCGGACTTGTGCCTGCAGGTTTTGAGCATGAGCTGGTCTGCAAATCAAATTGGAAAGTGGATACCTGAAAGGCTCAACCAAGTGGTAGTCCAACTACCAGACGCTTGAAATCTGATACTCCCACTGGTCAGCACGTCCACACGAGCAACGGATTGTTTCAGGTTCATGTTAAAGGTCAAGCGCTCGCGTGGCCGGCACTCGGCAGGCAGAACGGCGACAACAGTGCCTTTCGCCCCGTTTTTCACCATGCCTTGAATCACACAAATGCCATCCACCAAAACCTTGGTGAACCAAAGATATCCAAAGCAGCCGGCCACACACAGAGACACACTGCAGATTGGGCGAAATGTGTAGTGGAAAAAGTCTATCAATCTAAGATAATTGATAGACTTTGTCCATGCCTTTGGGGTTCCTGATTCATTTCATCCTTAATAATCAACAAGTTGATGATCCATGTTCACATGTCCAGTGGGAAATTGAATTGTTTCGACAAAGGGAGAAATATGCGAAATTGAAACACAACTATTCGACAAGGCGGTTTGACTGGCTTAGCCTTAGCCGCATGCCATTATCAACGACGCATTTGGCCTGTGCACCTGATGCGGCCTGAAGAGAACAGTGTTTTCGCTAATTTGATTTGCAGGTACGTGCAATCTGCGTCCAAATTGCATACCACAGCAAACTTCGAATGTCTTTGTTGAGTGGTGACTCCAAGCCACTACCCTGCAATTTATATTGGACATCCTGTTTTTTGTAACCGGTTACACCGGCACACACACACATACACTGACACACTCTCTCTCTGTCTCATCTCTCTTCCATTTCTCAGTATATAGTATGCTATCTACCCTTCTATCTACCCTTCTATCTATCCGATCTTTGCTGATCTTGCCTGATGTTATTAAATCGCTTCTCATCTTGTTTGAACTTATCGGCAATACAAACATCGTCCGCATGCCGACCCATACTGTATTGTGTTTCGATGGGGACCTCCCACTTTGTAGGGGCATGAAGGGGAAGCAAAAAAAACATGAACGTTCGCAAATATTCTGATATATTCTGATATTATCCTGCACATTCTTGCGGACCTTTAGAAGCATTGAAAATTGAAACAAGGAAAAACAACAACCCACTTTGTAGGGGTTTGGAAGGGGACCCTTCAATTTGTAGGGGCATGACGTGGAAGAAAACAGTTTTATCACAAATGTTTGTGATGCTTCTCAATTTACCTTGAACAATTTTGAGCTATATTTACTATACCGGTAAATGCATGCGAAGAAAGGAAAAACAACACACCAACCCATATTGTAAGCGTTTTGGAAAAGGACCTGTCATTTTGTAGGGGCGTGATAGCGTGGCTATACAGTATATAATCAAACAGACGCGTTAAAAAATAATCACAAAGCATACACACAAAAGAGAAAAAGAGAGAGAAAAAGAAAACATCAGGCAAATCACGCGATATCTGGGCCTGTCGTTTCTCAAAAAGTTGAACTGCATTTGGAATACTTTAGTGCAAAATCACGGAATGTTTCATGTTTTACTGAAACCCAATGGATTCACTACAAAAATGTAGGGATTCGTCGGACCTAGACTTTTCTCTACAAAGTGCCTGGCCTTGGAAATTCCATTTTCGAAATTCATGTCTATCTTTATCTCTGGGACCTAGTCTTCTCTCTCCAAAATGCCAAGATCTGCCAAAGATGCGGGATCTGGATGGGAGGCTAGATTTTGCCCCTTACAAAATGACGCCAAAGACCCCAATCATACAAGTACGGGCATTAAGGCCCATCAAATCGTACCGACATTGGCAGGGGGATATAGATAGGTAGATAGATAGATAGATCGATCGATAGATAGATAGATAGACAGATAGATAGATAGATAGAAAGATAGAAAGATAGATAGATAGATAGGTAGATCGATAGATCGAAAGATCGATAGATCGATAGATAGATCGACAGATAGATAGATAGATAGATAGGCAGATAGAGATAGATAGATAGATAGATAGGCAGATAGAGATAGATAGATAGATAGATAGGCAGATAGAGATAGATAGATAGATAGATGGATGGATGGATAGATAGATTAGATTAGATTAGATTCGATTCGGTTCGATTTGATTAGATTAGACTAGACTAGATTAGATTAGACTAGATTGGACTAGATTAGACTAGATTGGAGATTAGACTAGATTAGATTAGATTAGATTAAGATTAGATAAGATTAGATTAAGATTAGATATTAGATAGAGTAGATAAGATTAGATAGGCTAGATAGATTAGATAGATTAGATAGGTTAGATAGATTAGATAGATTAGATAGAGATAGAGATAGAGATAGAGATAGATTAGATAGATTAGATAGATTAGATAGATTAGATAGATTAGATAGATTAGATAGATTAGATAGATTAGATAGATTAGATAGATTAGATAGATTGGATAGATTGGATAGATAGATTATAGATAGATAGATAGATAGATTCGATAGATTGGATAGATTGGATAGATTGGATAGGTTGGATAGATTGGATAGATTGGATAGATTGGATAGATTGGATAGATTGGATAGATTGGATAGATTCGATAGATTGGATAGATTAGATAGATTAGATAGATTAGATAGATTAGATAGATTGATAGATTATAGATAGATTAGATAGATTAGATAGGTAAGATAGATAAGATAGATAGGATAGATAGGATAGATAGGATAGATAGAATAGATTAGATAGAATTAGATAGATTAGATAGATTAGATAGATTAGATAGATTAGATAGATTAGATAGGTAAGATAGATAAGATAGATAGGATAGATAGGATAGATAGGATAGATAGAATAGATTAGATAAATTAGATAGATTAGATAGATTAGATAGATTAGATAGATTAGATAGATTAGATAGGTAAGATAGATAAGATAGATAGGATAGATAGGATAGATAGAATAGATAGAATAGATTAGATAGATAAGATTAGATAAGATAAGATAAGATTAGATTTAGATTAGATTAGGTTAGATTGGATTGGATTGGATTAGGTTTGATAGATAGATAGATAGATACATAGATAGATAGATAGATAGATAGACAGATAGACAAATAGACAGATAGACAGACAGATAGATATAGATAGATAGGTAGATAGGTAGATAGGTAGATAGGTAGATAGGTAGATAGGTAGATCGGGAGATAGGTAGATAGGGAGATAGGCAGATAGGCAGATAGACAGACAGACAGACAGATAGGTAGGTAGGTAGATAGGTAGATAGGCAGATAGGCAGATAGTTAGATAGGTAGATAGGTAGACAGGTAGACAGGTAGATAGGCAGATAGGTAGATAGGTAGATAGGTAGATAGGTAGATAGATAGAGAGATAGAGAGATAGAGAGATAGAGAGATAGAGAGAGATAGAGAGATAGAGCGAGAGAGAGAGAGAGATAGAGAGATAGAGAGATGAAGAGAGAGAGAGAGAGATAGATAGATAGATAGATAGAGTCGAATAGAGTCGAATATAGAGTCGAATAGAGTCGAATAGAGTCGAATAGCGTCGAATAGAGTCGAATAGAATCGAATAGAGTCGAATAGAGTCGAATAGGGTCGAATAGAGTCGAAAAGAATCGAAAAGAATCGAATAGAATCGAATAGAATCGAATAGAATCGAATAGAATCGAATAGAATCGAGTAGAATCGAATAGAAAAGAATAGAATCGAATAGAATCGAATAGAATCGAATAGAATAGAATAGAATAGGATAGATGAGATAGATTAGTTAGCTTGCTAGCTAGCTAGCTAGCTATTTAGTTAGTTAGTTTGTTAGTTGGTTGGTTAGTTAGTTAGTTTGTTTGTTTGTTGGTTCGTTCGTTCGTTAGTTAGTTAGTTAGTTTGATAGATAGGTAGGTAGATAGATAGATAGATAGATAGATAAATTTGATTATATTTGTAAGTAAGTGCATTGACCATTGAGAACCAGCCTTAGAGAAAACAAATGAAAACAACCTACAGTACCCTGAACTACCGTAGTGCTGCCTGGAGGCATATGTGGCTGTGCCGTAGCTGCTTCCATAGTGCGCCCAATTATTTTGCAGCTCCAACGGAACGGCGTTGGATTCATCTGGAACAATGATCATCCCCGCCAAGCTGATCCAGTTGTACGAATTGCCGCCTGGTCGCTGGCCAAAGGGACACTGGAGATTCAAGGTTCACCCAAATGATCCGCCACCAACCGTCAGGTATCTTCACTAAAGGTACTAAAGGCACTAAAGGCACTAGAGGCCAGAGTAGCTGCAACCCCTTCCGTTCCCTGGCTTCCCGCAATTCTCCCACCACAGGTTCAGCTTTCCGGACGTCTCGCTGCAGCTTCCACGGAATTTCTACTCCTTAAAAGAAATTACTGCAAGTTCCTCTAGTTCTACAAGTAGGACTGCATGTGCAGCCGCTCCACTTCGCGCCATTAAAATTTGCAACAATACAAGTTTGTGTGGTTTTTGAGTCTGCGTGTAAGTCCTTTTGTCAGGCGAGGTTTGTGCCAATTTTCTATGGTTTTATCTTTTTATAGCTCATTGGTCAAAATGACTTGCAACCTAGACCTCCGCTCAGTGAAAAAAACGGGCGTTGGTGGGACTTTGGAGCAACGCAGCAAAAGTCATCAAATGAAAAAGGTGCTGATGAGCTTGGGTATGGCTCCTTAGAATTAAATTGCGAGTGGCGCTTTGCTTCTCGACAAGCCTCGACGCTTTCAAGGCGCGCAAGAATGCACATGTGTTATTCTGTGTGCTTTGTGTGAATTTGTAGGATAAATTTCATGCATCAAGAAAAGTGCTCATGAGCACGTTGTCAATGGTGCATAACATGAGCGCGAACAAAAACGTACAATCTCTCTCTCTCTCTCCCCCTCTTTCTACACCCTTTTGCAACATATTGTATATGTGTAGATTGCACAACCATGTGCCACCAATTCGGCGTACCGCAGCTTTTGCAAAGAACCTGTGGCAAACCGGAACTACATACATTATATATAGCCCCCGCGTCCAACCACAAGCTGATTCTTTGCTCCCGTGCTGTGTCTTTTGACACTTTTCACTAGTTTAGAGTTGAATCATGTTTTCTTTTCAGGCCCGTCTCCAAATTTATGACTCTTAATGACTCTTATGACTTATGATTTTTGAGCCACAAACTTGCCAAAGCCAATGGTGTCCATGTCATCCAGCAGCTTCGCGCATTTATGGTGCTGGCGGACCTTCTGTTGGGCATGTCAAGCTGAGCGTTGCTTGGGAGGTTTTTCGTTTCTCCTATTAATTTCAGGGCAAGGCCGCAGCATAAAAACCAAGCACCGGAGAGCGCTTCTCCGAAGTTCCGAGTTTTTGTCGCCAGTCGTTTTCTTGGGCAGGACAAGCACAGTATGTTTGATATGGTTGTGCACCTTTTTACACGGAATCTTCTCATGTTTTACCAGCGCCCACCTGCAACCCATTTGATCACACCATCGTCACGCACATCTACTCGTGAAGTTTGCTCCAGATTGTTCATGTTGAAGATGAGCCGCTTGCTTGGGGTGCAGTCCTCAGATTCAACGGGTGCTGTGGCCGAAATGTCGACTCCAACTTTTTTCATAGCATGGCAAGACATTTCGTGTCTATGAACGGCGTTCAACACCAAAATGGTGCTGTGGCAATGATGCAAACAAACAGATAACAAACGGATGCCAAACATCTTTACAGTGTGGCACGTCTACGTGCAAAGCAAAGCTCTTCTGGCAGCTGCGCCAAATTTGACCAGGAGCTCCCGGTGAGCCTTCCTTCAACTGAGCAAATGCCGTTGCGCTTGGTCACTTCAGGGATTCCATACTCAAGGCCATAAGCGCTCCAACCTCAGAGTGCAAGCACATGGGGTGATATTGATGCTTTGCTTTCACTGGATGTAACTCACCCCCAGCTACCGGTAGCATCAGCTACCAGTAGCATCCAATAGTCCAAACAAAAACCACTTGAGCAAAAGGTAGCTGGCCATTCAGCAAGGGCAAAGTGATGCGACCCAGGTCTCCGGGAGCAAAGGTTATGCCAGTGAGGCTGACCCAGGTGTATTTTCCTGTTCCAGCCATCCACACCACTGAACCATCCGGAGTGACATCCACTGAATGCGTATAATCGTGATGGTTGAGGTTGAAGGTCAACCGCTTTGTAGGCCGGCAACCCTCTGGCAAGTTCGCAATGATGGTGAGAGATGTAAAAGAGCCGCCTGCACAGGCGACTGATGTCCAAAATAACCAAAGGACACTCTGAGCTCATCTGAGAACTGAATATAATTGGGGCTCTATTATTTATATGGCTTTAGACTCTAGATTCCAGATCAGCTTCGACTTCAATCAACGCCCACCGATTTCCCGGGCGCTCCACCTTGCGGACGCGCATTCACCATGCAGAAGCCATTTTTCATGACGAAAACGCCCTCACCCCATTGGCCACCAATACTGGCCGTCCATGGGGTGACCGCAGGCAGCAACCGCAGTCCATCACTGGGTGCACTGAACATGATGCCCGACAAGCTCACCGTGGCGGCACCACTGTCACTGTCTGTGCTGTAGGAGATCTCTCCAAACTCACCTCTGACTCAGGGGATCTCTGGGATCTCTGGGATTTCTGGGATCTCTGGGGCTTGGAGACTGGAGATAAAGGCTACTACTGGCTAGGATCCCCAGCTCCATCCAAGAAACGTATAACACTCTGAACATGTTGAAAAGAAAAAACATGTTTAAAACTAACTATCTAAAGATATCTAAAGTCTACAGCACCACCTAGCCACTCACATCCACTTCCATGGTGGTCGTCCCATGAGCTTTGCTGAAAATGAGTTTGCGCATCGGCCAACATTCCACGGGAAGTGTTGCCAAAGTACCTCCACCACTCACAAGTGTGCCATCTACCCGCCCTTCAACCAAGCAATAGCCATGTGTCAGGCTATAGGTGGGGACACCAAAGTCTCCACCACTGGTCGCCACCCAGCCATCAGCCAAGTCAAGACTCTTCTGCGCATGCGTAGCAGTGGCAAAAACAATGCCAGAGAGGCTTACCCAACCCACCTGTGGACCTGCACTGTATACCACCTCTCCATTGATGTGCACCTCGATCTGACTGGTGGCTGACCCCTCAACGTTCAGGTTGAAAGCCAACGTCTTCGTTGGGCGGCAGCCGGCAGAAAGCTGGGCCAGGACTCCCCAGGTGCTGCCACTCACAATGCGGCCCTCGACGAAGCAAAGAGAGCCGACCAAAGTGTAGGTGGCTCCAGCATAAGGAGCTGCAGCATTGCTCCAACCATTGCTCAATTCGATTGGCCATCCAGGTGACAATGCAGGAAATACAAGTCCAGATAAGGAAAGCCATGAATCACTGCTTCCTTCAACCCACTTGACAACTCCATTGGCATTCACTTCCACGCTCGCTGGCATGGAGGCATCCTGTGTCATCAGATTGAAGACCAAAGTTTCACTGGGACGGCAATCTTTTGGTAATGTTGCGAGCGTCCCCCATGTGGTTGGCTTCAACGCTGCCTGCACGCTGCAAATGCCATCCTTGCGCTCGAAGACTGCATCTCTGACTCGCCCAGATGCCTGTGACACCCCGCTCTCCAGTGTCAACCTCCCCACAAATTCCGCAGCAGGTAGCTCTGAATCGAAATGTGTGTTGGACATGGCGTCGATGGCCTTCTGCTTGCTCGCCTGCGACACGTAAGGAAGGGCTGCCAGGACCACACGAAGATTGTCCACCAAGTCGATCAAGCGAATAGTCTTGGTAGGAGATTCCGCTGGTCCAAAGTTCATGCGCACACGCAGCTGGAGGTAGCCTGCCAACCCGCGTGGTCGAGAAGTGTTGGGAAGACAGCTAATGAACAATTTTATACAATGCACTTATATGCACTTTAATTATCTGCAATTCATTGTAGTTCTATAGTATGAATGAGCATGTTTGATCAATTTCTTGTTTTCACTGAAATTTGGCCTAGACCCGCCGCATCCAGTAGCGCCTGAGGCCAATTCGCCCTTGATGCTGAAGCCCACCAATGAACCAGATGGACTTGCCAACTCAAACAACTCATGGACTCCCAAATCCCCCGCATCCTGCTGCAACGCTGACAGCTTCTTGGATAGGGCGGCTTGCACGCGTTTGGCGGCTGCTGCACCTTCATATCCTCGAGGTGCTAAGTAAGAAGCAACAGCTTGGCGCGCAAAACGCGGTAGAACCCCTTTTTGGTAACAAGTGAATTGCACATAACTAATTATAAATATACATTTATGATCCTCCCTTAGTGTTGCCTAGGGACCTTTGCCCCCCTCATTCTATAGGAAAATTAGCTCTATAAAATGAAAAGCTAAGGTGTAGACCCATACATTCTCTCTATGAAATGAGGTGCAAAGCAAAACCATCATGAAAACATACCTTCCTATATTATGACCCAACTTCTTTTGCAAAGGTTAACAGTGATATTGACCACAGCAAAAATATAGTCTATAAAATGTTACTGCTCAAGTTGGAGGGGGTAGTTGGGATGTAAGACAAACGCCCAACAAGTCACCTATAAAATGGAATTAGGAACATTATGAAATAGCTCCTGTAATACTCTGCGTCCTGTACAAGCTTTGCATGGCATTTTATAGGTGGCAGTTTGGGTGTGCAGCATTCACTCTGCGGTCTGTACAAGCTTTGCATGGCATTTTATAGGTGGCAGTTTGGGTCTGCAGCATTCACTCTGCGGTCTGTACAAGCTTTGCATGGCATTTTATAGGTGGTAGCTTGGGTGTGCAGCATTCACTCTGCGGTCTGCACAAGCTTTGCATGGCATTTTATAGGTGGTAGCTTGGGTGTGCAGCATTCACTCTGCGGTCTGTACAAGCTTTGCATGGCATTTTATAGGTGGTAGCTTGGGTGTGCAGCATTCACTCTGCGGTCTGCACAAGCTTTGCATGGCATTTTATAGGTGGTAGCTTGGGTGTGCAGCATTCACTCTGCGGTCTGTACAAGCTTTGCATGGCATTTTATAGGTGGTAGCTTGGGTGTGCAGCATTCACTCTGCGGTCTGTACAAGCTTTGCATGGCATTTTATAGGTGGTAGCTTGGGTGTGCAGCATTCACTCTGCGGTCTGTACAAGCATGGCATTTTGTAGGTGGTAGCTTGGGTGTGCAGCATTCACTCTGCGGTCTGTACAAGCTTTTGCATGGCATTTTATAGGTGGTAGCTTGGGTGTGCAGCATTCACTCTGCGGTCTGCACAAGCTTTGCATGGCATTTTATAGGTGGTAGCTTGGGTGTGCAGCATTCACTCTGCGGTCTGTACAAGCTTTGCATGGCATTTTATAGGTGGTAGCTTGGGTGTGCAGCATTCACTCTGCGGTCTGTACAAGCTTTGCATGGCATTTTATAGGTGGTAGCTTGGGTGTGCAGCATTCACTCTGCGGTCTGTACAAGCTTTGCATGGCATTTTATAGGTGGTAGCTTGGGTGTGCAGCATTCACTCTGCGGTCTGTACAAGCTTTGCATGGCATTTTATAGGTGGTAGCTTGGGTGTGCAGCATTCACTCTGCGGTCTGTACAAGCTTTGCATGGCATTTTATAGGTGGTAGCTTGGGTGTGCAGCATTCACTCTGCGGTCTGTAACACACTGTACAAGTTTTGCGGCAATTTTTGCTTTCTTACTTTCATGGCATCGAAAAGGTCTCGCCTTTGCAGCTTAATAAGAAATACTTATAAAAAAAACAGGCTACCAAAACCCTGTCATTGCCTCTTTTCTGTCGGGTAACACAAGAAGGGGGAAGCCCCAGCGGCTCGAGGACTTCGACCCGGAAAGGCCCCAAGGGGGAAGGCTATAGGGGAGAGACACAGCGGAAAAGCCGCAACAAGAAAGTGAAACATGTCATATTTAAATGCATAAACTGCATAAACAGGAAAAGGAACATATATATTATCAATGTTGAATATAATCAAAGTGAAGAAATATATATTATAAATATTTCAAATATTATAGATCATATACCATTAGCAATACCATTAAATGAAAAAAACCTCATTTTTTCGTGAATTTGAATATGTGCTGCAATATGCTTATTTTATATGCATTTTTTATGCTACAGAAGATGCCAGATAGAATGTCAAAATATGTCTCAGAGAAAATGTCAGATAACATGTCAGAATATTGATTCTAATATACTCTAATAATGTAATTTTTCCAAAGTCTTGGGACAAAGGTAAAGAAAGGAAAATTGGTTGAACACTAAATGCGGTCTGTACAAGCTTTGCAAGGCATTTTATAGGTGCCAGTGTGGGTTTCAAAATGTTTTGAATTTGTTTTAATGTTTTTTTTGGTGATCCCCCTGCCCCCCCATTCTTGTCAATCTATGACGTCTCAAAATAAATCAAACATTCTTTGAAAACATCAAAACCAACAAATGTTCAACATAAATATAAATATAAATGCATATATATATATCAATAGAATTTAGTATCACAAAAAATGGTGCACCATGCTCTACTTAGCACAACCATATACCTATAAAATGAGGACAATTTCTTTGCAAAGGTCAGCGGGGTGTCTATAATAAAATTTGATTCACCAAACCGTTTGGCACCTATAAAGTGAAGGGATTTTCTTTGCAAAAGTTTATGCTTGAAAAAGGAAGAGTTTGCAAGTAGGCAGTGCGGGCCTTATAAAATGATGAACCCAACTCTTGCAAAAGGAGGCCACAGTGCACCCCAACCATCCTTCCTATATAATGGCTGTCCGGAAAACCATTTCATAATTGTAAAAGATCCCCATTCTATAGGCTATCACCGGCCGGGGATCATTTATGGCAGGTAGCTTTGAAGGAGAGGACGCAAAAGCGCATGTGAAGTTGACTGGCCAACGGGCTGACGTGACCGAGGCATGTGACCTACAGCAAGCCCTGGAACCTCCCAAACGAACAACGCAAGTGGAGCCGAGAATCGAGAGACGCGCCTAACCCCGAAGAAATCCAGGATTCTTAACTACGAACGTACTGATACCTAACCTCGAACCTCTCCCCGCCTAACTACAAAGTGTAGCATTCTGTCAGCAACCACGAACAAAAGTTCGCATGAAGGAGAAACATGGTATTGTCGCTCCAAGCAGGCGTCAAATCGCAGTATACTTTTTGGATCTTTTTGGACTGCAGGCATCACTTCGCAGAGTTGCCACGGCAAGGGATGGCATCGACTCGAGCATAAGCAATCAAAGCCCAAACCCTGCGTCACAGGAAAGACCATATAGATTTCCGGCACAACACAAAACCTCAGATAACCTCAGATACTGATGACTAATTCCAAAACATGGCAAGAGGAGATGTTTCTCCCGCTCCGGCATTGTGAGGCATTCCAAACCTCAAGCAGACACTGGGCACCACCTTTGGGATAAGGATGTGAAGTTGCCCTGACATGTTGCTTCTGCTGGTAATGAAAACGAACAACTTTTCGATCTAGGAATCTGGGTAGTGAAAACGACTAACTTTTCGATCTGGGAATCTGGCAAGGCATCTGAACATCTCTAGGCAGCTAGCAAATCTCAAAAACTGCGTGAAACCACTGGTGCCCTGAGGAATCCAGCGCTGCTTGCACATGCTTGCCCAAAGCGCAGGAGGAAGGCTACGCAAAGTAAGGGAAGGTTGCAATGGGAAAATGCAAAAAAAAAAACTGTGGTGGAGCCGGTGCAAGTCTTTGATGTGAAGGAACGGCGAGGGCGGCTCAAAACATCATATTATGCCCAAAATGATCTGGGCCTAGCTGCAACTTTCAGTGGAAGAACATGCCAATTCAATTCACTCTGACACGTTGTGTCTGGATACCAGGTACAGCTACTTGAGACACTCTGACACGTTGTGCCTGGATACCAGATACAGCTACTTGGGTCCGAAATGGCCACAATCGCAGCACCAATCAATATTTTTACGAGCCCTTTCTGCCAAACATGCCGGGATAGACTATTCTATCTATCTATGTAGATATATACATATACATATATAGATATATATATATATATTATATAAATATAAAGCTCTTCGAGGTTTGAGAAACCTCACTTCGGGGTTAGGCAGGCAGGGTTGTGGCCGAGAATCTTGCGGTGATGTTCAATCCAAGCCTGTGATCGTACTTTGCTGACGCCAAGAAGAGTTCCTGCTGCTTCACTTCAAACTCTTCTGGACTTGACTGCCTTGTAGGCTTGTGGTGAGGTCCCTCAGTGGCATTGGTCTGACTCAAAGCAGGCTTAAGAACAGTAGTAGGCTGAGCCTCTACCGTGCGTGACAAGACCTGAAGAGCCTTGTCATCATCATCACCCGTTCCCTTACCGAAGTAGTTCCGTGGCCGCTCCACCGAATCCTTGAAGTTGCCGCTAGTGAAGTTGGTATCGGAACCAAAACGCCGATGGAGCCGAATGGTATGGGTAAAGAGAACGATGCCGGCACTGCGGGCTGTGAAGACAATGAGACTCAAATCTGGAGCTGAAACGCGGTCGGGCCAACACACCTCGGTGGTGATTTCCATCAAAGGTGCTGGAAGGAGATCAAATTCCAATCCACCAACAAAGGCCATCACTGGCTGGGCTGACATTGAGTATGTGATGGCAGCACATTTCTCAATCACCGACTCGTAGGTATAGAAGGAATATCCCTCCCACTTGCTGGGATTGTCTTTTGCCCATTGGTTGTCACAGGGCACAGCCCATGGTTCCAACTTCACAAATTCGTCACTGTCAGGACTTGGCACCTGCCAGTCGCGCATGGTCACATTACCAGTTCTTCCAGTGCGATGGCTCGGGGCAAATGCTAGGCAGGAGCCGCTGTCATATTCGTCCCCACCGAACTGAGTGATGAGCATCGAAGCATAGGGTTGAGCTTCGGTGGTGCCGAATCCCACGATGCCATTGTCCACATCGTTGGAGGGTTTGCGGTTGGCATCCCGTTGCAGGAAACTGGGCTTGGAGGCCGATCCCTTGTTTGCTCTGTTTGGTGTTTGTTGCCCCCTTTGCCGGCGGACATGTGCCGTGAGGCCCTTTGGACCCGCCAACTGCAGGGGCTTTTCACCAACACCTGGGAAGCTGGTGTTGACAGCCTCCTGCATTAGAGATGCGGTCTCTGACAGCAAGGTGTGAATCAGGGCACTGGCCAACTCGGCAAAGAATGCCACAAATTCTGATATCATGGTCCCCAGGTTCATGAGAATGCTGAAAGGGGGGACTTTCTGCAACAGTACATCTCCCACCTTCGCTGCAGTGCAAGCAAATACATCCAAAGCATCACCAGTGCAACCTGCCACATGCTCGGCCAGAGCAAAAAGGATCTTGAAGGCTGGAACATCGGCCAACAATTCGTCCCCAATGGCTTTCGCCGTGCACTTGAACACATCCAGGGCATTTCCATTTGACAAACAACCAGAGACCTGCTGGCCCACACTGATCATGGCCGTCAATGGCGCGGGGTACGCCACTGAAGTACTGCCAAAATTCATGTCAAAGAGGGTCAAGGTTTGACCAACCAATGTCACTCTGCATCTTTGCCTGCCCCAATCCACCGAAAGGCCAGAATCGCTCACAGACAATGAAGGACCGCTCCAATTGGGGCAATTAGCACTGAAGTCAAAGCCTTGACTCAAAATTGCCACAGCTTGCTCTACTGTGTCGATCACGGTGTTGGCCACAAACTCCACCTTATCTGCTGCCTGATTGTATGCATCACTCAAGGCATCACCCACCAAATCTGTGCCGTCGGTGACAAGATCAACCATGTCTTCGCCTGCATCCACAATGTCGTCCACAATGGGAACTCCCTTGGAAGCCACGCTGCGGTCCAGGTCGCTTGTAGCCCCATGTTGGCTCTGGGCTCGTTGTGCCATCACTTCATTGAGCTCAGCTTTGGTTTCGCCCTTCGGGGCCTTCTGGGCCTTCGAGGCTGGAGTTTCCTGAGTGCCCCAGCGGCGCTGAGTCTGCCGATGGTGCTTCTTGATCACAGCCATGAGCAAGTCTTGGGTTCGACGGCCGACCTCTTCCTTGCTCTTTTGATTTTTCTCCATCTGCTTCAACCAGGCAGCTCGATGTTTATTCTCGAGCTTTGGCTCAGGTTCCTCTCCTTGAAACTTTGCCAGCTTGGAGTTGATTTGCTTCAAGGCCGCATCCTTGTGATCGAGGCGATCCTTCAAGGTCTGGATCTCCAGCTGTGCTTGATGAAGCTCCTGCCTTCCAAATCTCAACTCGATGCTCTGAAGCTCCACAGCAGTCTCCAATTGTGCCTCAGCTGCCACCCCAGGAAGTGCTAGTGACTGCTAGTGGTCACACCAAATTGCAACTTATTTAGTCTAATTGTTAATTCGGTTTGGTGGTGCAGGTTTTGGTCTAGTGTGAGTGCGACGCCTTTCACGCAAAAACTGGGAGAGCAGCGCACTACAAGTGCCGAGTCTTAATGACCTCTTAAAAGGACAACTCAACACAAGCACCACACAACACAAATAAATGAGTATAAATAAATAAATCCGCCCACACCGCTTTGGCGGTGAAGGCGTGCTTATTGGGGGGAAACAGCAACACTAAATGCTCAATGACATTTGTTAATATAGCAGTCGCTATATCAGCTTTAACTGGGGGAGGGGCCAAAAACGGTTTCGCACCGAGACCAGAATACGGTGGTGTTTTCGACATTTTTCGAGGATTTTTGGGTGTCTGAGCGCAAGAGGGTATTGAAATGGAATTTTGGGTCATTTTGGTAGCTTTCCGGCAATGGAAAAACGGCCAAAAATGAAAAAAACATTGTACATAGCAAGATTTTGCAGGGTTTTTGGATGCCAGAGCATTGAAAACACTGCAAAAACAAGTGTTTTGGACTGACGTTATAGCAAAAAACGTGTAAATTACCGTATGCTTGACTGGAAACATTACAAAAACACTGTCAAAAGCAATGTTTTGGAAGGATTTACTGCCTTTATGGCAAAAAACGTGTAAATTACCGTCTGTTTGACTGGAAACATTGGAAAAACACTGTCAAAAACAATGTTTTGGAAGGATTTCTTATATATATATATGTTGGAGTTGGCTACCGGCATTGGCACATGGAAAAATTGAAGAAAACACTGTAAATAGCGGTATTTTCAACGGTTGGGGAGATAAGGGAATTGGAAGCATTGTCGAACATGATGTTTTCGACCGGTTTTATGGCGACAAAAGTGTAAAGTACCGTGCTTTGAAGGAAACCATTGCAAAAACATGGAAACACATTCAAAGAACACGGGATTTGGGGGACTATCTAGGCGTCGTTGTCTAGCTATTTGAAATTCCGCAGCTTGGAGAGCCTCCAAGGGAGGGAAAAGTGAAAATTCCATAGCTTGGGAAGCTGTCACGGCGGGGAAAAGTGAAAATTCCCTAGCTTGGGAAGCTGTCACGGGGGGGAAAAGTGAAAATTCCCTAGCTTGGGGAGCCCCCACGGGGGGGAAAAGTGAAAATTCCCTAGCTTGGGAAGCCCCCACGGGGGGGAAAAGTGAAAATTCCCTAGCTTGGGAAGCCCCCACGGGGGGGAAAAGTGAAAATTCCCTAGCTTGGGGAAGCCCCCACGGGGGGGAAAAGTGAAAATTCCCTAGCTTGGGGAGCCCCCACGGGGGGTGAAAGTGAAAATTCTTAGCCCCTCTCACGGACCGAAATAAACCTGCGGTGTGGGCGGCCACCCCACGCGAAGCGGGGTGAATACATAAATACATAAATAAACAACTTTGCGCGTGGATGCTTGGAGTGATGCTCGTATAATACGTGTGCGTGTATCACATCTAAGAATGGACACGTATGCAAAGAAATTCTCCAGCTATGAGAAACAAAGACCAAGTATAAAGGTCAAAGCTTGCACGTGAGACCGGGAAACCACCTTCAAATAGAGGAACTCCAGATTCTTCCCCAGACTTCCGCCAGTCCCATCAGCATCCACGGGATCTGGCATGCCATTGCTCTGGTTGATGTCATCTTCGAGCACGGTTTTAATCAAATCCTCCAGGCTGTGGTTGGTGGAGTTGGTGGAGTTGGAGCAGTTGGAACATACAGTCCCATTCAAACTGTGCTCACGGTTCTCGTTCTCCATACCATACACGGCCTTTAAAACATCTGCCTTCAGGGAGAGCAAGGATGGCGCCTTGCTGGGATCTTCACTCTGACACGAACCTCCATTTCCAGAGGCATCGGTCAATGGCCAGGTCAAGAATGTCAAGAGAATAAGGTGTCTCATGCCACACATGATATGATGGCAGCGCAATGTAAAGTTGATCGTGGTAAAGTGAGCTTAGCTTGTAAGCCAAACGCCTCGGTCAGCTACAGTTTAACAGTTTTCAGCTGTCTGTGTCCGACAGACTGGCCAGTTAGTGCAGAAATCGGCGAAACTTTGTCCGTCTGTTTCCCTACACCATCTGTCAAGGTTATTCAAGGTTCATGGTAAAAAGGAACTCATTGCATCATGCCCGGCGAGGGGTCTTCCTTTTGCCGCGCCCATATCTCATGGGCGAGCTGCTCTGCGCGTGAAACCGGTAACCTGTGAAACTCTATCTATATGGTGGAGAAGCACCTGCTCGGAGAGGCAAACGCTATGGCCATCCCAAGCAAATGATGCGGACTTGTGCCCGGACTTGTGCCTGAAACGTGGTATCTGCCAACCGCAAGACGCATGGCGCGAGGCCCAAACTAACGCCAAACACGGCCAACTGATGGTTGAAGACTAGATGAGTGAATCAACAGCAGGATGCTTGGATCTCACACACTCGCGCCAACGGGCAGTGAAACGCATGAAACGTTTACATGGTTTCGAATGTGCACGGAGCTGTGAGTGATGTTGGTGATGCAGTGATGCATTCATCAACTTTCTATGCTCCACTCAAATTTGAGATGTTAGCTGCGTGCCATCCGACTAGTATACCTGACTACTCAGAGCTCTGGGGGACTGCAGGCTCTGGGCTCATCGCTTTCCTTTTCCAATTCCTGGAGCAAGTGAGATGCACTCCACTCATCTCCACTCCCCAAGTGAATAGATCCACTACGCGGCCAGGGTTTCTGGGATTTTCTGGGTGTTGCACTCTGTTGCACTATGGATTACTTATGGTGTATTATGGTGCTGAATTCGTGTGTATTCTAATTATTCTATCAAAATGGGAGGAAGATGGAGGAAGGGACTGGAACTTGACCCCGCTGTCTCCCAACACGAACTTTTACACGGCGACCACAGTTCCACAGTTCACCGCCTGGAGGCTTCAGGCCGCGGCCACCAACACTTTGTGTGGTGCTCTTGAGGGCAGAGTTCTTGCCCAAGGTACCTTGGAGAAGTGATGAGAAGTGTAGTAGGCCCAACCCCATCCACATTCGCCACATTCGCCACATTCATGTTATGACTTCTTTGATGCTGGAAACCTGGCAGCCAATGGTTATCTATGATCTGGTTGCTTCAGATTGCAGTCAAGCCACGGTCCATGGTGGCAGACAACTCATCCAACTTTTCCAGCAAAGCAGCACCCTTTTTGGTGCTTTGGCCCTGAATCCAACGCTGCTGAGTTGGAGCTGAATTGCAGGATTTCTCAATATTTCTCGCTGAAACTAAGGCACCACAAGTCACTTGCATGTCGTCTACTTCAATCTTTGATTCCTAAAGCTTCTGTTGATTTGAGCTTGGAACGGAGGCTTGAGGGTTTGCTCCGGGCTGGGCTGCTGGTTTAGCACCTCAAAGAAGGGCGTGCAGTGTTGCCCCAGCACCTCTCACATTTCACCATTTCCATTCTGAGAACTCTAGGGCTCTAGGGTCATCAAAAAAATCAGGATACTCAACCCATCCCAAAACCCCTGCCCATGGCTTTCCCACCCAAAACTGCTGGGTTGGGCACTTGGCTTGGCAACTGGAGCTGGAGGCCGGCTGCTCCCGGCACTTGGTGGCCGGTTGGGAGCCTGCCATGGAACAAAATAGATGAAGCCTCCTCTGGCATTCCTTTCTGGTTGGACATGACCCTGAGTGCAACTAGATAGGCAACGATGGATCGTGGTCAGGACCAAGCAGGATCGCTCCCCATATGATAGATTTGATAGAGATATGACTCAGATATGAGATCTTTAAAATGATCTAGAATATCTAAAATGACGGGAAGCATTCCAGGCTCCACAAAGTTTCGGGGACGGTCCAAGTGGTTGGTGAAGTGCCTGCTTCCTGGGTGGCGGCGGTGGCAACTTCTTTGGTGCCTCGGTAGCCGCGGTCAGTAAAGATTGAATGCTTCTTGCATAAACCAATCCAAGTTGAGGGCAACATTTTGAGCCATCTGCCATCAGCGACTTAGACAACATATCATAATTTTAATATATTTTAATTATCCATGTTGAGCCAAGCCGCTTCTTCCACTTCGTCCTGAATGCAGCTTGCTTTGGTACGCTTTCCGGATTCACAGGCAGGGCATGGTCCAGCTGCATATGATTAACCAAATGCCATTTGTGTATGAGACCTACTGGACCTATTGGACCTATTGGGCCTATTGGGCCTATTGGGCCTATTGGGCCTATTGGACCTATTGGGCCTATTGGGCCTATTGGGCCTATTGGGCCTATTGGGCCTGTTGGCGTTTGTCTAGTGATTCAGATTGTCCTCCAAGCCATCAAGCGAATCAAGCGCAAGCGTGCTGGCAATTGATGTCTGCCTTGGCGCAAGATCGATCAAAAGGCAGCTGGCGTATGCTGTGGGCCATGGCCACTTGCCTAAAGATCCCTAAAGGTTTTATCTTCATTAGAGCTCACCGTGCTCACCCGATCAAATGCAATGTGGTAGACTCAATCATGAACCTCCAATTTGGGGATGATTCATACACCCTGCTTCTGGTAAAAATGTGGATGGTTTATCATTGGGTTTCTGCCTTAATCCTTGTATACGAACAAAACGAGTCCTCGGTGCAGCCTAGCGACGCAGAGAAAGTTTTGTCTCCACGCGGCGTTTCTTGCTCTTCAGGCACTGTTGCAGGATGCTGGGCACCTTGGGGATGAAGTTCGTTGAAGTTCATTGAGAGGGGATGTCACTATGTAAAAATATGGAACAGAGATGCCAAGAATTGCAATCTCTACTTGCATCATCTTGCATCCATTGAACAAATGTCGAAAATCCCTGAATTCCTTCCGTTTCTCGGCGTCACTCGTGCATCCAAGGAGCAGAAAAGCTTCCACCGCCGAGAGGCTTTTTCCAAGGCTTCCTGACAAGGAAACGCCCAGGACGCTTCGGAGATCTCGGGGTTTGCATCAACAAACAAAGGATTTCCTCCAGCCGATTCCATGAATTCATCCTGCCTCCCACTCAGGTTCCTTGCCCAGGGTGCTTGGAGCTGCTGCAATCTTCTTCACCTGCGATGATTTTGACACTTGGCAGCTGTCCTTGACTTACTTTTGGTAGCAGTAGCCCCCTTGGAGCTACCATAAGATCATATAAGATCTGTAAGTTAGAATCAGTTAGTTAGAAGTTACTATAAGTGACTTTAAGCCTGCATGTCTGGACATGTCTGGACTGTACAGCGCCTCCTCGGCATCCAGTTGGGTCAGCAAATTCTCCACAACCTCCAAGGTCTTGCCCAAGGATGCCTGCATCCAAAGCGGAGAGAAAATACTGGAAAGGTCAAGTCCTCGGAGTCCTCGGAGTCCTCGGAGTCCTCTGTTTCTTTTGCATCCCTGACATCTTTCCAGGGGCATGGCCTCCTGTCGTTTTCGCTTTGGACCAAAGCTTGCCGGCTCGCAGTTCCCCTTGTGGAGCTGCTCGTGTCGGAAAGCCTACTGCAGAGAAGAATTGGCGAATGATATGACATTGGAGAAACAGCGATGAAGTCCTGCGCAAGTAGGTGTGGATGCTATATGACTTTCAGAGCCAAAAGTCAAAAGGTATGAACCTTAGGTGGCAGACTCGTAGACGACAAAGAAAAAACACATGGATTTTAAAGGTCTATTTTATTCCCCCCATATGCCGTAGCAGACCAACCTCTGCTCCAAGCTGTGACGAAAGCACTGCCACAGGTCGAAGGAGGTCTTCTGCAATCTCTGTGCGCCGCGCAGCTCTTTCCGATCGGAGCCTGAATCTTGATGGATGTTTATATGTGCGTTTTTTTTTGTTTTTGTGGTTGTTCGTGTTTTTTGGGATGTTCATTGTTTTTGACTTCAATGATGGACCTGTATGGGTTGGTCTGAAGATTAGTTACCTCTCCACTGGATAATGATAATTTGCCACAGTCAAATTGTCACTTGGAGGTAGGCACCCTTTTTTTGGAACAAAACCATTAAAGATGTTAAGTCCATTGAAAAAGTATCAAGAAGTCTGAGTCCCGCACACTGCATCTGCAGCTTCTTTTAAAGCTGGTGCCAAGTACTCCTTCCCCCAAGGCGTCCCAGTGACCGCTGTTGGGCAAGCATGTTCTATCCGCACTCCGCCCCCTCAAAAAAAACAATTTCACGTGTTTGATGGGTTCTCAATCAAAAACGACCCCAAATAATGGCAGCAGCGAAATCAGTTTTGGGTGCCTGAGCCCAATCATTCCTTCTTCTTCACGTTACCAAATGAATAAAATTCCGTTGAATCACAGTCCCTAAACAATCCCAATGATGCCATTCTACCTTAGATAAATTCTGGATTCTCACTACATCTCACTACTATGTTTCTTTTAACCGTAATTTTAACCATCAATAACTGAGATTCGATGAGTCATTGATTTTGGACTTGCACCCATCGGCCTCAGCCGCTAGGCGCCGTTGCGCCGCCTCCTTGGCCATGGCACGCTGGGCCTGGCGTTTCGCCGGGATTTGATGGAGCCGGGCGCTTTTTTTGATACAAATGTGATGATCATAATATGATACACCCTCTCTCTCCCCCTAATTTGTGTGTGTGTAACTTAATAATATATAATTATAAAACATATACGTATACACATAATCAATATGTATATATATTTATCTATTTATTTATGTCTGTGTGTGTGTGAAACTACAAGAAGAAAAACACACTTTTTTCCCGCATCGCAGCATAGAACCAGGAACCCAAAAATAATTCCAAAACCTGCCGCAAAAAAAAACATAGCCATGTATATATATATATATTAAATACACAAAGAGACTGTGGATTAAGCGCGCGCAAAATAAGGTCACTAATAGCGGAAAAACTAGAGTCACTAAGCGCGCATAAACTGTACACAGACTTGATACTCAAACCATTAGAATCCATTAGATGGATGCGCAAATCATCAGTCACACAGCATCCGACCATCGCCTTGGCTCGGCTAACTGCCCTGAGTTCGTCAATGTCAGCCGCAAGTTGCTCTTCGAACTCTGCATCCACCTGGGCGCCCCAGGGTTCACAAATAGGCTGACCTTGGGTCCCTTCAAACAACGGCAGTTGGTTGAGACAGGTAGAACGGTAGAACCGAGTTGGTTGGTGAACAACACACTTCCACGGTTTGAACTGTCGATATGATTTGCAATGGCTGGCCATGGACTCACATGGGATCCTCAATCCTGGAATCACTGGGAGTTTGTCTGAAACAATTTGTCAAGTTCCAACCCAATTTCACCATTAAAATCACCATAGATCATCAGATCATCATTTTCCTCATGATTCATTGTTTCAATTTTTATCATCACTATCACAATAGATCTTCATCAATTTTCATAGCAATTTCACAGTAGATCATCATTTTCCTCATGAAAAAATGGCCATGTTTTGGTCCATGATCATTGGAAAATCATGATCATATTCCTCATTGGAAAATCATTGACGATCATTTTCCAACATCAAATCAGGCGCCTGATCCAACTGTGCCTTGAGCTCTGGAGTCTCCTCCAGTGGACCCTGAGAGTCGTGACGACTGGTGACGACGCTCGTGACGAGAGACGACTGGGATGAATGATAGGTTATTAATGGAGATAGGTTACCAATGGATATAGGTTATCAATAGATATCGGTTATCAATGGATATAGTTTATCAATAGATTATTAATAATTAATCATATAATACTTAGTGGCTTTTTATGATGTAGAGTCACAACATACTGTCCGGCGATCAAACATGGCTGGCTGCAAGACACCCTACTATAATGGAGCTTTATAGCTGGGAAATTTAGCTGTATATGGTGGATTTGTCAATTGCCATGTTTGATTACCAGAGGGAATATTGATCAATCCCAGTAGATCCCAGTAGATATAGATCAAAAAACAAACTATGGTTCCAATTAATGAAACTATTCATGTGCAATATCAGTGTTAAACAGCTTAGGGTACATATATATATATATGTAGTATCAATGTCAACGTATGATCTTTTATTGCATCTATTGCCATCTATATGTTCATGCATAATATGGCATATGTGTGCATGTGCATATAAATTATACAAACAATGAACAAATAAATAGATAGATATATTATTAAATTAATTAATAAATTATAGTTATATATATTTACACAAATGCATTAATGATACTCATGTCACAACACGGATCGCTATGTAAATGGCTTTGAAGGTTCTAAAACAAATTCAGAGCCTATTATGTTGTGGACTGTGCGCTCCTCCGCAATCCTCCACATAGAAATTTACAATGATCATGACTGATCTACACGCTTCTGTGATGCGTCTGTGCCACAGCCGTGGAACCTGGAACCACTGGAACCCTCTTAGGAGCACTGGTATACAGCTGGTCCGCAGCAAGTGAGCCTCTTGTACGTCAGTATCTTTGGCAGTTGGACAATCCTTGCGCAGTCGGCCCTCCAACATTCGAAGAGAGTACCTGGTTCATCAAACTTCCAACATCTTCCAACCACAGCAGGTGGCTTCTCATACTGCGACGGTCTTGCTTGGCAAGCACTGCAAGCACTGAGTGTGTATGATTGTAAGATGCATCTGAATCCAACAACCCTTGCTATAGTGCTTCACAACTGGGGCACAGGAGGACTGAATGCTTCTGCTTGAACCTCATCCGTATCGCTGATGAGGGCTGATCGAGGTGTACATGCTCAAGTGTTCCTTCCGAGTCTACGATGTCTACGCAGCAAAACCTCTGAGATCCCAACTCTGCTGTGACAGGAAAGTTGATCATGTCTGAGTGCAACCTCCTTATGATCTTCAAAGACCTGGGCGTTGCAGGATTGCCTCTCCAGGTCAAAGCTTCAGGCCGGAAATGTCGCTGCTGACCTGCAACGCCAAGGAGCTGGAACGTGAGGGCTCGTTTCTCACGAGGCTCTGCGTACCAAGCCTCACCAGCACCAGTGGTCACCAAATTTCCAGGTGTAGCACTTCGTGTGGACATCGAAAAGGCGCAGTTGGAATCCGTTCAAACATCTTCGAAAATTAGGCTCTGTACGTGTCTGCAATCCAAAACAGCTAAATCAATCCAACGATCTTTCACTCAACCGAAAAAAGGAGCTGGAATTGATGAAGGGTCTCTGCGCAATCTTTCAAGCGATAAGGTCCGAGCCTGATTGATACGAGCCTTCTCTTGCCGCACGACCAAGGCTGCACCCCTCACAGAAGAAAGCACTGAGGAATGGCCAATGTCAGCACCAGTTGGATTCTCCTTTTGCAATGGCTTAGATAGGAAATGATAGGATACTGTTTCCGTAATCTCTGGAATGTTGTCACACACACATATCTATCTATCTATCTATTCTATCTATTCTATTCTATTCTAATCTAATCTAATCTAATCTATCTATCTATCTAATCTATCTATCTATCTATCTATATCTATCTATCTATCTATCTATCTATCTATCTATCTATCTATCTATCTATCTATCTATCTATCTATCTATCTATCTATCTATCTATCTATCTATCTATCTGTGTGTGTGTGTGGGGTCCGTTTGCTTGTGTTTGTGTGTGCATCCCATGCATTCCCATGCTATCCTCACGCCCAGGATTTGCCACTCATCAGCGGTCACCATTTTGAGGCGCCCGCATCAAAACACGGGTTTGTTCCTGCAGCCGCCGTCGCTCGGACTCCAGCTCGTCCACCTCACCAAACACGAGCCAATTCGCCAAGTGCCACTATGGCTTTACTGCTGCATGCAGTAAGACAATTTATTCACCTGTAGTCATGCACGATATTAATGCAAATTTATGCAAACATAATCAAAAATCAATGTTGAATTTGAATCAGGGACCACGTTCAGTGCCATTGTACACTCGTGCCATCTCGTGCCTGCTCCTGGGCAATTTGCAAGTGCTCTTTCCGGATTCTGTCCAGCTCAGCCTGGCCGAGTTCGTTCTGTTTCTGATTTCTGATGGCACCGGAAGTCACTGATGGTCACTGGACATCGCGCCTCAGTGGCATCCATGGCCTTTATTAGGGCATCGATTCGTTCGAGGCTTCGGGCTTTTTCCCTGAGCTTTCAAGCTGTGAAACGGAGATATATCATGATATATAGACAGACACAGCGTCGGGTTTCTGCGTGCGTGTTTGGGACATATTAAAAGCGTTCAAGGATGTTCTGGTTCAACCAAGTTCTGAACCAAATATGTGTGTGTGTGTCTCTCTCTCTCTCTGAGCCAGTAAGATCCAGTAGGTATCAATCATCACAATTTGGGTTGGCCTTGGGATATCCCCGCACGACCCCGCACGACCCCGCACGACCCCGCACGACCCCGCACGCCTGTCGCGCTCACGGCGCCACCGTCGGTTCAATGCCCTTGAAACCCTTTGGAGACACTCTTTGGTATGAACGTCTCTTTTCCTCATCTGCTCCTGCGGCCAGCCACATCCCAGCAACCTTTGCAGGGATAACCCAAGGGGATTGTGAAGATTTGTGAAGTGCCCAACTATGCCAGCAGTAATCCAGCAGTAATCCAGCAATTGTTCACCCGGAAAAAACAGGAATGACAGTTGTGCACCGTCCTTCATCTTCAGGCTAATTTGCCTCTCCCAATCGTATTCCTGCTGACCTGGAGGTTGGAAATCCGAAGAGCTTCGATAACTGGGGGCCGTCCAATGCTAAATTGCTAAACTTGCTCCAGCTAGCAGCCGCCTTCAAACATTATGAATTCGCGCTTGTCATCTTTGCTCATCCTCAGCAATCGTTCATCTTTGACCACAACAGTCAGCTCTGCAGGATTCTGCAGGCACAGCAAAAATGCAATGTCCATACAAAAACACTTGTTCCTTCAAATGATTGGCAAAGTTCATGCCAGCAAGATGCTTGTCTTCATCAGTGGCAATTATTCGCAACTTCTGATTCACTTCTGGCCTTAGAACGCTTGTGGGCCAATTTCACGCATTGCCCGTGTGCGCATGGCAGTCACTTAGCGAACACGGCCGCATTTGTTTAATATGTCCGGATTTTTTGTCACTCTCTGCTGAAGAAAACTGCATACAAACGATCATTTGCTGAGACTGGGCTCCGAACGCGGTGTCCTTCTCTTGCTGCAACCGCTTCCGCAAGGAATCCAGGCAAGCATGCAGCTCTGGCAGTGCTTCTGCCGTCGCATGCCTTGGATCATTTATGATGCATTCACACAGTGTCACACAATTTCGCACACAAGGCATGCAAGGCACGGAAGGCAAACAAGGCAAACTGTGTAGGCAAACTAGGCAAACAAGCTCTCATATGCCTTACAATGCCTTACAATGCCTTACACAAAAAAACATGAGTACTTTGAGGTCTTGACACCAGGTCCTTCTCCTTCTGCTCTTCGCTCGCCTGAGATTCAACATGATTCAACTTCCTAGTGAGTCCTAGTGAGTCCTACTCTATTGACAGCCTTGCCACGGACTTGCGACGGACTTGCCACGGACTTGCCACGCAGTGCCACCAACTTCAGGCAAGAGTCCCAGCCAAACGATACCGGAGATATGGGAGCATCCTTTGAAGCGGTCCTGCACAAAGTTCAGCTACAAAATCTGCCACCTTCGCCCAAGGATGCCCAAGGAATCAAGAGATTTCGACATCTCTCTAAAATGAATGTCATCCCAATATAGATATCTCAGATCCTTCTGGAAACCTTCCTACATCTCAAACATTCCTTCAATAGACCTGCTGCACACCAACAATACATCCAAATATCCTTCTATTTCATGAATTTTATGAAAGTCTATCATCCAGTCACATCCAGTCATCCAGATAAGTTCCAGACATAGTTTTCTAACGCCGATGACCCACGAGCAGTGACACAATGACCCACGGGTCCAGCCGGTCCTAGGGATTTCCTCAGGAGGCCGCAGGGCCACCACCTGTAGCGCCCTGAAGCAACTCGCTGCAGTGGCTGAGACCTGGCTCGGCCATGGGATAGCATGGGACTGGGCTATTTGTACACCATGAATCACCATGAAAGCTAGTGACAGTGATCCTAATTTCAATAGTTGACCAGAACATACCAAAAAATGATTAGTGATTGATCTGATTGTACTACGTATGGCTGTTTTGTTTGGGTGTGGTTCAGTGGGCTATGATGGGCTATGTATAGATATTTATGGACTGGTGCTCGTGGTTCTTTTAGTGATTCTTGTTTGGGATTATATTCGTACCACTTGTTGACTTCAAGGAATTGACCAACCCCATTCATCCCCCGTCAAGGCTGTGCACAATGGTGGTCATAGTGGAACTAAATGCCGGAAGCAACATCCACATCAATGGGCAAGGCTGCTCTTTTTCGTGCCGTGCTGCGCGCTCCCCTGACCCAAATCGTTTGCTGCACCAAATCACCAGCAAGAGACCAGCTGCTAAAACCCCCCATGCGGCAGTAAAATCGATAAAAATGTCCCTTCCTGGCACGCTTGTCATGAGTTTCCGCGACGAAGGTCTTGTCTCTTCTGCAGAGGAGTGATAAGGAGTCGCAGAAGCCAATGCTTCAAGATTGATTCGGATCCACAAGGGCCAATGGTCGCTCACTATGGTCGGATCGTGCCTGTGCAAAATGCCAACATCTACGACGGCATTTCTTAGAGAGTTGGACACAAGCACATGATCTATCAGTTCCCTTTCAGTGCCATACTGGAACCTTCCATCATGGTTCCTGTCATACCAAGATGAGTAGCGCTCCGCCACGGGGATGCGGCTGAGAGCATTCCAAAGGTCTGGACGTCCATCGTCGTCGACATCTTTCAACATTCGAAGGACAGAAGAGGTGGGAACTTCACCACTAGGACCGAGGACCTCCGAATCGAAGTCGTTCAAATCCCCAAGGACAATCACATCCTTGCCCATTTCTAAGGCTTTTCGAATTATGCTTTGTGCAATTCTAGCCTGACCTTCACGCTTCAAACGTGCATCTGGTTGGTGTGGCTGGGCCTTTAAATGCAGCCCCAGAATCTCAAGCTGCCGCCCAGCTATGGAAAAGTCTGCGATCAAATGTTTACTTAGCCCAGTGCTCTCACCTTGCCCACGTCCATGGGCAACCAGCTCAACACGTTCCGCACTTCGCGTCAGAGATGCTGTTGGGGACACACTTGTCAGCAAGGCGACCTGCTGCCGCAAATGGGTGTCAGTTCCTGATATCATCAGAGGGTTGTATGAACCATTCAGTCTTTCCGCCACCAAGTTCAAAATTCTGCAATTCTCCACTTCGGCAAAATGAATGATGTCTGCACCAATCTCCTGAAGAACGGCAGCTACTGCCTGAATTTTGGATGACACTTTGGCTGCATCCATCTGTGGAACAGGCAATGGGTCATTGATTCCGTCAAAAAGCCACTCGACGTTCCAAGCTGCAAGGGTCAGCAAACCTGCAGGGTGAGCCGCTAGGAACACTGGGCATTTCAGATCATTCAGGAGCTTGAAAAGCATGTCACAATAAATATCAATAAATCATGATGTCAAAACATTATTACAGTGACAATTCATACACATGGCGCCCCCACATATTGGGTCCATAGGTTTCCACCCATCCCCAAGCATCCCTACATGAATTTTCTCGTAGCATTTTGAGTCTTTCTTCAGATTTCTTCTCTTTTCGGGCCTGGACGGTGCAAGGTCGTCGGCAAACTCTGCAATGCCTTTGGACAGTCCACTTGGTTCTCTGTAGTTGGTGCTTGCCTGGGGCGGCTCTGAGTGCTTTGCCTTGACTCAATGGAGTTTTCTTCAGAACAAACTGCAACCATTCCGCCAAAAGCAACCCTTAAGCCTTAAGCCTCAAGCCGTGTGATTCCGTGTTGCTCAATGACGATCAGTTGGGCCACTCTCCCACAACATGTTCCGCCAGCCCACCGGACCTTGGAAGGCATGATGACAGCTCCCTGGACCAATAGCAGAAGCGTTGTCGGTTGGCATCTGCTTCGCATGAGTGCACTGCAGAAATGAGATGCCCTCTGCTGTTGCAACGACACCACACTTCAGAGCCTGGCGCGGATTCCAAAGTATTCAGAGAGACACTCCCACAATGACCTGCTTTCCCGGTCTCCCAAGATTGTTCCAAGGAAAAAATGGAAAAAAAAAACACCCGGATCCAGAATGCTCACCCATTTTTTTACTGTTTGTAAGCGACTCAGCAAGCTCCTGTGTTTCCCGATCCTGGCCTCTGGTTGCTTGAGGCCGCTCATCACAGGACATTGGGACGTACTGTGCCCTTCAACTGGCACATAGATCTAAAACCGGGTCAGAAAAGAACAGTCCATGAACAGTGCTTAGATTTGCTCCGTATTTCAGGTCATGGAGTCTCTGAATAAAGGTGTCTGTATAAGGGCTACCTTCCTAGGAAAGCTGGAGCAAAAAAGGCTGCCGAGCCCTTGTGCAGTCATGTGACTCACTTGGCTAACACACTTTCCAGTTGTTTCATTCACTCCCTCAGTCCCTTTGCTGCTTTCGTTGCATTCCCTCCATTCCTTCCACTGTTTACCTTCCCACAGCCAAGGTCACCGCCAAATAAATTCCATGTTCGAATCAGGGAGCTGAAGAACGGTAACATTTGCGTGGGTATAGGCTTCCTCCACCTCCTCCTCCTCCTCCTCATCATCATCATCATCATCCTCATCATCCTCATCCTCATAGACAACCATAGACAATCATAGACAATCATAGACACCCGTTCAAGGAGCCACTTCGCTGTTAGTCACTTCCTGCACGCTGCTGTCACTGCACCTCTGCAAGTGCTTCATAGGCGGACAGCTGCTTGATGACCTGTTGGCACCCCAACTAGCTGCATATCACTGGGAGAACTTCCTGTGTGATCTGATTGGTGTTTGAAATGGGGAAAAAAAAACATGGTGCAGAGTCATAGAACGCATCTGAGTGGAAACCCGGGCCTCTGCACTTGGTAGCTGCTCTTTCAGGAGTTCCTGAGTAATTACAAATATTACAAAACGATGAGAAAGCAATGCTTCAACGTTGGCAAACAAATCGGGAGTTCCTTCGGTTCCTTGGCTGAGACGAGGTCCAGAATTCTCGAGCCGTCTCGAGCAGCCTGAGGTCAGCACCTTTCCTATCGCCTCTGTGGGTTCCTCCCCGAGGCTTTTTCTCAAGGCCTCCTTGCGAGCACGCACCTTGCGCAAAGTCATGCGGCGCTAAAAAGCTACGCGTTGACCACAGGATAACACAGGTGCCCATAGGTACCCGACATACTTGCATATCCTTGCGTCATGTCGCTTCAACGTTGACAAATTATGACAAATGTTGCTTTCTGGGAAGCATTTTTTAGCCAAAAATGTAGCTCGACAAACATGACGTTGATGTAGACCACTATGAGCATTTTGAGGCACTTCCTCTGAATCGGGCGCAACCCAGCGCCAACTTAGCTTCAGGCTTTTCTTCGTGCAAGGTTGATGCGGGCCACCTTGCCACAACGTTTCTGTCCAGCAGCATGCACTTGATCAATAAAGAGAACTGAAAACTGGCCAAATCTCACGTGCTAACCTTCTATCATCTGAATTCTGTACAGATATGTCAAGTGTGCTTGTCAATTTAATTGTCGTTTTTTTATTCGTTCCGCTCCTCCTGAATTGGCCAATTTGACCATGGATGATGAATGAGGGCCATGCCTTGGCGGCTTCCCGGTGTTCTTTGGCTGTCTCTGCTTCATTCGCAATGGACCTGGGCATCGCTACGGGCGGCCATGGCTATCAGATGCTATCAGAAACATCTTGTTTACTGCCAATCTCGGAACGTATATAGCGAGCCCCCAAAACAATAGAAAAAAACGCGATTACTATATCACAATATATCACACCATCACGGTCATGTCAAAGCCAGCCAGCATTCTAAGCCGGCGGCAGGGCCATCGCTCTTAGCTCCTGTGCCTTCCCTGGGTCCAGCTTGCTTTCTGCTTCCTTTCACGAGATCGCGAAATCCATGCAAGTGCAGAACAAAAAGGCAGAATAATTCACAGAAGTAGGCCAAGTAGGGTTGGAAACTCTTTGGCATGTTTTTTTCCTGCAGGCTTTCCTTCGATTATATAATCCATCTGGTCTACGGATTCCTTCCAGCTTCCAATGAATTGCCGTGATCATGGGCCTTGGCTCGAACTTGAACCCTTTCCTTCAAATCCTTCTCTTGCGCCTCCGCAGACATCGAAGGGGCCACAGCTGCCAGTGTCTACTGACATCTACTGACTCTCGTGAACATCAAATCCAACCATTTTTAGAAAGTAAAGATGAGAAAGAAACATGATAGAACTACACAACCACAGGAATCACAGGAATCAGAAGTACATGCCTGAATCTTGTTCAGGTCGGCAACCATGTACAGCCCAAACTCCTGCCAACAAAGGAATCTCTGCTGAGCAGTGCTGTGCTGAAACCAGGCAATGCAGCCGCCCGCCTCATCTATTCGTGCAAACTCACCCTCCAGAATCGTCTCAAAATCCTGAGCGTAGCAGGGAGGATGCTCCGTCACACCCCACAAAACATCATACCATATTGGTCATATCAAACTACATCAAATAGTTCATTGAGTAGACCAATTGATATTCCACTCGCCCAGCTGTTCATCACCTTCCACATAATCCGACGCCTATTTCCATCTCAAAGCGCAGATATTTGCATGTCTTCACCACACCTCTTTGGATGCTGCACACGCTCAATCAATGACAAGAGTTGGGGACTCTCCCCTTCCAGAAGGCATCTCATGCGATGATCTCCATCTTCAATTTCAATCAGTTCTGCTCCGATGGCATCAGCCATTTCCCTACTGTCAGCGATCGGGATGGTGTCATCTTTAGTTCCATGCACTATGATGATCTGCCTACTGTCATCCGTAGCGAGCTGCTGAGCTATCGCAGTGTATATGGCAGATGGTGCGAAGGCTGGATCATCTCGTGCATTTCCCACAGCGCGCTTGTACGCCGGAGCGATAAGAATCGTAGGTCCAGCCCAAAGTCCTCTAGCAATGGCAAGGGTGGCCACTGCGCCACCCCATGAACTGCCAACTAAAACACCGTTGGATGGATTCGTTCTCCTTAGCTCCTCCTCCTGACATTGAAGGCAGCCAGTCAGAGAACATTGAACACTCCAGGCGTACAAGTTCCATGGTGCTGTTGTCAAGGCATTTGCAAGAACATTGCGAAGAATGCCATTCCGTTTCCGGAGGTTCAGGAGGGACATGTGCATATCCACACATACAACATCATCATAGTGTTCCTCCAGAAAGGTGTGTTTCCTCCCGCCACATCCAGACTCCAGGCCGTGGAAAAAAAGAATCCTGGATGCCATGGCACCAAATGGGCGATGTATTCTCAACAGCTGCCCTCAAACTGGTATCCTTTTGCAAGGATTCTGCATCATTGTTATAAATTATTTCTCTAAATGGTTCGACAATGGATTTTTAACGAACTCAAATACGGTGAAAAATGTATACTATATATATATAGAGTTTATTTATGTATAAAAACATATAAAAACACATGATTCTCTATGATTATTGCATGAAATGCATCTGCCCACTGAGCTGCCACATACTGCGGTATGAACCCATCATTTTGCGTCTTCCATTCACTTGGTGGCAGGGCCCCAGTGGCCAATCAGCCCCGGAACCCTGCAAATCACATGGGTTCCACGATCTGCCAGTGGATTCAAATTGATGCGCTCCATAAAAACCAGCTCTACTCATGAGTTGTGGGAAGGATTTGAAATGTTTGAAATTGCTTACTGCCGCTCCAAAAGTGGAACCATCCGTTTCTTGGGTCAGGTCGAAAACAGCTTCCCACCTCTGGAGCTTCTGAAGCCGTTTGGAAGCTGTACCAGTTCTCTGAGAACCTGACCTTCTCCAGAATCTCCCAGCATGACGCCAGCTTTGACCTTGGAGTTCGACTTGAACGCATCACAAAAAGCCCTGAACCTGGGCAGCACCAGATTGCTGTGTCACTGAAGTGTGTGAAGCTAGGCCCCTCACACATCTGGCCGCTTCCGTCCAGTTTTCTCCTCCTCTTCGGAATCCCAACTATCCGGGACCTAGGTCATCAAAAGTCAGCAAGGGTCATCGAGGGTCATCAAGACTGCCAAAGATGTTTGCCCCGGCGCTTCAGCGCTGGTGATCTGAGCAGCCAACGACCAGTCGCAAGGCTTCGCGGAACAGCGGTGTCGTGCGAGCAAGGTCGCGCCGGAGCGTGACTGATGTCGTCAAGTCCTTGATGGCTTCCTGATGACGTAATGTGCCACGGCGCAAGGGCCCAACCTGTCTAAACATCATGGGGGATAGATTGCTATAGAGGTTCATGTCAACTCATAGCGGGTTCTGTGTAATTATATATGTTTTCATCTGATGATCAATTGTAGACATGGATAGACATGGATGGAAATGAGAAAATGGGAGTTGGATGAAGTTGGATCCATTTGGGCATGGCCAACATGAAATCGCAAAATCGCAGGACGCTGGGCTGAGCCTGGTCTTCAGTCTTGGCCTTGGACGCTTGTGGCGACTGTTTGGCTTCAGCATCTTTGGCAGCTGCAGCGCGCGCTTCAGCCTGTGACTGTGGGCACGATTGGGCACAAACATGGCAAATGTAACAAAGAATGTTCACGCAAGACATCGCAAGACATAGCAAGAGCATGTTTTGACAAATTTGAGAGGCACTATTAGGCACACTATGATCCACTAAGTACGGACTGCTTCCGTTTTGCGAAGCTCAATATGTGGTCCACTGTGCCTATGTTGCGTATTTTTATTTATGTATGGGATTTTGTTGTACGACATTCGCAGCACTGATGCATCCGTTTTTTTGTACCAGCCTCTGCTTGCTCACATGCCAAGTCCTGGCCGGATGTACAACGGGCCATCTCCAAAAACACAGGAGTTGCCTGCATTTGAGAAAATTCAAGTAGACACAGTGCGTACCCTTCACCTATCTTCACCTACACTTAAGTCACTAGCTAAAATAGAGTCATTTCCATGGACCCTGCTGTCGTGCACCAGTTAATAGCAATGATTCTTTCATTTATGTTCATTTCCGGCTCTGCAATTAATCGTATTAATCCCTATTCCTGAACAATATGATATGACTGATTTGATTAAACTCGCGGCAACCATGGTTCCACAACATTTGGTGTCAATCTCCTTTGCGTCTAACATGTCTAACACAGCATCGAGTCAGATTTGCGCGACAGTTTGAACATCCGACCATCCCACCAGGATCCTCTAGGTACTGTTCTCTCAATTCTTCTGGACTTCGCATATCTTCCACTGGGCCTCCATTGTGCCATTGTGTTGTGAATTCACGCGACAACGAACAACATGAAGTTACAACGTTACAACACAGAGAGAGAGAGAGGGGCAGGGGGGAGAAGAAAGAACATCACAGAACGGCACGGCACCACAAACTCAAAGAGTGAATCTGCCTTCTTCCTCTGCTGGCTCTGTTTCGGTCTTTTCTTTTGCTTGCGTCCTGGGTTCTGATGCGTAGCTCAGACAAAGATCCAAGAAGGAAAAGAACCAACCGCAGTTCAAGATCGTGCTTCTTCGGAGAAAATAGTGAAGAGACCGTGTTCCTACAAACCCACTGAAGTAGCCCTGCATCGTTCCTTTTTGAGTATGCCTCCCACCGACCAGCTGGACGCGCTGATCGCACAGTGGCCCCGCAGCTAGATCCACGCAGTGAAACACCACTTCAAACCAATGTCAGAGATCTCCGGCGGTGCCCAAGTCGCTAAGCACAAACGGCTCAGGAGCTGAGCTCTGCCTGCCTTCCCTCACTTCCCTCAATTCTCTCCCTGTCATGTCTCTGCCCGTATGTGTACCGTGACTGTGTGTAGTGTGTGTACACTGTGGGTATCTGACCGAGCCTTCCTTCACAAAGCGCGTGTATTCCTCGTCCAGGGCTCGGGTGGCCTTGTGCTCTCGCCCGCGGCGTCGTTCAGCCACCGCCCGACGCAACGTCTCGCCCAGGGAGCTGCTGCTCGAGGGCGCCGAAGGTAAACGACCGAAGTCGCGGCTGCGACTCTGAGGACTAACTCGAGCACCTCAGTGAAGCCAAGGGAAAAATATGATAAATGGGCCTCAAAATGATGGAAGTAAGTGAACAGATTTATTAATTTATATATTGGGTATTTGTTGGATAATATGATACAGATGCATTTTCTAGTCATTGCTCTGTGCCAATCTATTCAAATCTACATTATATTTTTTGTCAGATGTAATTTGATGCATAGATAATAAGACAGTAATTATCATACCAAACTCCAATGAGTTGCCTTTTCCTGAAAAACAAACTGCTTTGGAACCGAGATGATATTCACTGGCAGGGAACAGGGATCCAAAGCCTATGATCCTATGGTCCTATGGTGGGAAATATAGAAAAATAATGAAAAATATAAACAAATCAGCCGCCGCAAAAACAAAAAAATATCAGAACTGCCTTGCTACACTGTAGTTTGTGGCATTTTGATCTTAAGATGGTGACACCACTTGATGCAAATCAGGGCGCCGTCGATCTCAATCCTGCCGGTTTCGCTGCTTGCAGATCGACTGCATGAGGCGCGTAGCTGCTGCCACTGTGACTCTTCCCTGGGCTGTGTCAACTTTATTTGGAAAAGATACACTTGAAATCACCTATAAATCTACGTATCCTAAAGATTCCTAAAGTACAAATGCAATTTGCATAGGTGAGTGAATGTAAAGTTCTAAGTATCATGGTATGGCATGGCATGGCATGGTAGGGCAATGCAATGCAATGCCATGCAATGTAATGCAATGTAATGCAATGGAATGCAATGTAATGCAATGGAATGCAATGTAATGCAATGTAATGCAATGTAATGCAATGTAATGCAATGTAATGCAATGTAATGCAATGTAATGCAATGTAATGCAATGTACTGCAATGTAATGCACTGCAGTCAATATAGTGTAATGTAATCTAATGTAACGCGCAATGTAATTTATAATGTATGTCATGTCTGTCTGTGTGTATGCGTGTGTGCGCAACAATATAAATAATATAACATGATACAATATGATATACACATATTACATGTAGTATCAAAATTTTAACCTATATATATATAAACAACAGCAGGCCATTCCAGAAACACCACAGCGTGGTTCATCTTTCAAAGGAGTCAATCGGGTCATAATTAGAGCAGCCGAGATGCTGGTGACGTGCTAGTCGCTCCGAGCGATCTCTGTGCTGAGAGTGCAATTCCCAGAGCTCGGCCTGTCTCTGACTCCGGGCCCCTCCCAGACTGATGTGACTTCTGGTGCTCTCCAAAGAACCCACCTGTGGTTTCTGAAATTTCTGGCCTCTTTGCTCCAAGGTTTCTGGCTGCCCCGTCCAATCACCACTCTTTGGCAGTACCATTGGAGGTTCTGGCAGCGATGCAGGCCGCTCAACCACCTTTGCAGAATGAGCAGCACGCACAGTGCTTTGTAGATTTTCCAGCAAATCTTTGTTTCGCCTTTCTGCGACAGCAAGACGTGCACGTGCACTGCCAAGCTCTTCAGCAAACGTGGTTTGTAGCTTCGCAAGCTCAGCTTGAAGCATCTCCACCTCTAGTCTCTTGCTGCCTGCAACATCCTGGAAACTGACTCTACTCCCAGAAGTTGTTGGTTCCTCTTTGACCTTGGGTAGCTCTGTGAAACAAACAATGAAACGTTATCAGAGTCCAAAACTATACGTAGCCTATAGTGGTACATCGATGCCCTTAAACATTCCAATCCTGGAACCACCGAAAGAAAAACAAGAAGATTTGAAGCAAAGGATTAGGTACCTTCTGCTGTTCCAAGGCTTCCGTGCGGTATCGAGCTGCTTCTGCCCTTTCAAGAAACAACTCTTGCCGCAGTCGCTCGAGGTCGCTATCAGAGGCCCCTTGAGCTATTCTGGCAGCTTTGGCTTCAGCTGTGCATTCTTGAAGGCTTTTTTGAAGCGATTCTTTGTCTTGTTCCCAAGTGCTTCTCTCCCGAACCAGCTGCTGATTCACTCGTACCAGCTCCTGTTCAAGTGCCGCGACCTCCCCTTTGCAACGCTCCTGCTGTGCAAGCTCTTTGGCTCGCGATTTTGCCATCTGCTCCAGCTCTGCATGCTGAGCCCGCATAGCTCCAGTTCTCTGCTGAAGCTCCGACATGCAATGGTCCAACTCCGACCGAAGGCGTTGCAGTTTGGTCTCCTTTAGTGCGGCCTCCTCTGAGAAGCTCTGTTTGTCTTCCTGGAGCTTTGCCACCTCGCTCCGCAAGTTCACTACCAGTGACTCAGATTTGCTGAGCCGATCCTCAGACAGTTTCAAACTGACAGACAATCTTCCAGTCTCCTGGCACAGCTCCGCCATTTGACCTTCAGTCCCTAGAAGCGACTTGCATGCTGCACGAGGTGGGCCAAAGTCTCTGAGCTCCTCAAACGGAAGGAAGTCCTGTCTGCCATTTTTGGACAAAGAGGACGGCGATGATGGGGTTTGTTTTGGATGTGATGAAGGGTACTCAGTCCAGCAGCCACGGGATGCTTTTTCCAATTCACTGGCCGGACTTAAGATAGATGTGACCAGCTCAGGCCTGCTGCCCATGGGGCTCTCGTGGCTGGCTGTTTCGGTGTCATCATCACTTGGATAGGTGCCTTCGGGATAGGCTCTGAACACCTCCAGCCAGGTAATGGATGGCCCGGCCTCTGTTGTGACAGTCCTTTCGATGGCAACTCCCACTTCTGGCCAGTACAGTTCCCGGACGATGGCATCTTCCTGTTGCTCACAGCTGAGACCGATGTTGGGCACCACTTCCTGCAAGAGCCATCCCTGGCCTCTTCGTGAGAGGACTGCCAGCATGCAACCCTGGACATAGCTTCCGCGCCCGTGTTCCGGAGATTGACTCCGCCTGTATTGTTGGTGGAATCCGCCTGCGGCAACCATCAAAGACAGGAAACCTCCTTGGATCCCAGTCTTCCCAACAGTCGCCAGCACCAAATGTTCCAGGGCCGCTGGCAACTCGTCCAGCTGCAACTCTATGGTGGCCAAATCATTTCCGCCATCTGCCGTGGCCCAGAGTACAGCACTCCTGCTGCAGCCCAGCTTTTCAGGACATTCATTGGCATCCAACAGCTCAAGATCGGAACCAAATAGGCCACATCTCAGCTCTACGGTGCTGAATCCCTCTGCTTGTAGTGAACATCGCAGCCCATACTGCAACCCTGGCAGGGGAACCCCGCCAAAGGACATGGGTCATGCGATGCGGCGTGTCCTTGCAACTCATCCACAAATGTCCCCAGCAGCTATGTTTCAACCTTGTTCTACTTTTTCAATTTCCTGCAAGTCTGCTCGGAGAGTTTCAATTATTGAGTTCAACTAGGTTCATCTAGATTGAAATACTGTACTGTACTGTAATTGTAATGCGCTTGGCTTGCCTTTTGCTCTTTTGTGCTGTTTACTTTGGAACCAACTTCCCTTTCAGATGCTCAGCCACCCAGCATCTCGACCCCAAAGCTGCAGAAACAGCCAGCCTCCCGCAAATTGAACGTGAGCCATGCACGGAATTATGCTCAACACCCGCTACTACAACATTGCAACCATTGTCCCGCCCTGAACAACTGCAGATAAGCCACAGCTGCTTCAGCTCCTAAGTCATTTCAACTGTGCATCAGCTGCCACTCTACCGGAGAACTTTGATATCTTTGATGGCGTTTCATCTGGGGAAGGGGCTTCGTCCAGGATCAGATCTGCCAGCAGATTTCCTGGAGCTTAAAGGACCGCACTGTCTCCATGGTGAGATCAATCACAACATGAGAAAAAGGCCAAGACATAGATGTTCAAAAATCAACTCACTCCTACCAGCCCTTCATTACGCAGTCACCGTTTCATCTCTGGACAAAACTGGATCATTGTAGCCACGTGAATCAGGTAGCAGGTAGCAACAATTGGGTAAAGCTGTCTCCAAGTGGCCTGGGTCTTCCTCTCCAGCTTTCCCAGGGCCATCAGCTGGTACCACAACTTCAGCTTTCCCTGCACAAGCTGCTTGTGACAGGCTCAAATGCGCAGCTGGAAATCCTCCCATGTAGACAGTGCAGGCCGCCTCCCGGGGCTGCATCGGCTGGAGCAGCTTCAGCACCTGAGCTCTTGCCCAGCCACATCAGCCACTACCTTGTTTTTAAATCTTTTTTGAAATTCCAGAAACACAGCTGGCCCCAGCTTTTCCGGCCTCCAGTACCTGCGGTGCCTGTCTGAGCCTTGGGTGTTTCTGGTGCAACAGCTGCGCCTGCGGCCACCGTGCAAAGTTGGCAGAGTCAAGCCGAGGCAAGAAATAGGATTATATAAAATGGATCAATATGGTATATAATCATATGGATTGTCGTAGTATCCGGAGCCTTCTGACTTTGGGCTTGACGCTGGCAATGCAGTGGCATCACCTTGCATTCCAAACATAGTTGTTGCAAAACCGGTCGACTGCCTGGTTTTGTAGACAGTAACAGATATGGTCCTCATTTGATGCCCTCTTTGTCCAACTCACCAACCCAATCTATACAGTAGAAATCCATGGGGGCCAGGAGGCACGAAACATGTTCCCTGCAAACCCACATTCGCCCACACCCAAATAACACACCCAAACAATATCATATACTTGTCACCAGAGGATGGATGAAAACACTGGCTATACGCAGCGATTTTGACTATAGGTTTTGAGGATTTAGGGTTTTAATTTAGGGTTTAGGCTTTTAGGGTTTTAGGTTTTGGAAAGTAAAAAACGCTAGCCCTACGCAGGGATTTGAGCATGTCAAAGGATATGCGGGATCTGTGGCGGGCAAACCTGGGGTTTGCAGCGAACATACGTATTTATATCGATTGTTTCAGATTCCTTGTTGTTTTTCGAACGTTTCTTAGTGATTCCTCTCTGAGTCTGTTTAGGTATTTAAATGGCAGAAGGGCGCAAATGAAGACTTATACGAATGGTTCCTAGGAAGGGTGTTTTAATGCAATATAATATCATGCAATCATGAAGAAATTGTGTTCATCCAGTGCCTGCTGCAGATGTCTCAGGCGCTGGGAAAAAGCCTCATGCCGCAGCAACAGCACCCGTGCTGGAACCCCTCCTGGACCCCCTTTTGGAATTGTCGTTTCATTGATGTGGCAACTGCTTGGAAAATCCAGTTGCATGTAGGTGTGCCTGAGAAAAGGTTTGGGGGTGTTCCCATCATGTTCAAACAAACCCACGTGTTCATTGCACAACCAGATCCCACTGAAAGCGTTGACAGCGAGCCTTGTGACGTACGATTTGCGGGCGGAGTGGAAGGGCCTGTCAAACTTCTCTAAACTCAGATCCAACCCAACAGGGCAGGATGCATCGGGTTCATTGGACAACACGTCAAGTGACTGGATAGAGCAATCACAGTGCAGTTGCCCGACCAGCCCGGCCAGCCCCATGAGTGGCAAAAAAATCGAATAACATGAGAGTGATGCAACCGAAACGCAGTCCATCCTGATTCTCACCCGAGCCTTCTGGCTTTGGCTTTGATGGAGGCTTTCCTGTCTCCGTCGCCGGAATCACTGCAGGACCTTCAGATCACATTGGAGCGACTCGCAAAGTGCCTTGAAAATCAACAAAGCTGCTGTCAAATTGTCAAAAGTACTTCATGTATACTTCATGTATACTTCATGTATACTTCATGTATATTGATGTGTATCCCAATATCTATGCGTTTGCTGTGTCTGATGTCTGTTGCAGGCGCAAAAAAGTGAAGGCCTTCAGAATGGCTCTGGTCAGCTGGCGCTGTAACAGGAGCACCTTCAAGCAAGGTGGATGCCCTAGCCCTAGCTGAGGAACCCGCATTCTAAATGGGCATTGAAGTCATTGAAGTCGGAAAATCATCCGCAAATGGGGCCACGTTTGATTACCAGAGGGTAACACACTCAAAAGATCTCAGAAGGGTATGGCCCTAGACCTGAGTTTTTTCTGCTGAGTAGCACGCCCAACTGCTCATCCAATTGGTATGCAGAGTGAAATGTGGCGTTCTTACAACCATGGCAAACAGTGTACCCGGATGTTGCACAAATGATCTGCAAGAAACATGCTTGGAAAATTGAATGAAAATTGGGCCGATTCAATATCTGAATGCTCAAGATTGCTCAAAATGAAATCGGTCTTCGCCTTCAGATTTGCTCGTCTCGGCTGCAGGTGTTACGACGGGAGGACCTTCTATCGATTTGAAAATTGATGGCAAAGTCCCCCGACAATCAATGGGAGCACCAAATGTGTTTTTCTTTTTTTTGCGGCTGGCTGAAGCATGCAAAAATATCACACCCCACTGTCATTCAAAGGAGAGATGGGCAAAGCTCTGAATTATTTTCTCCTGTTTTGATGGGTTACCACCTTGGACATTTCATGACATTCATACAACAAATTGTGACCACAACCCAACCGGGTGCAACCAGCATTTTGCTAGCATTCCGTTGTCTGCAGTGGCCTTGAGTGCTCGTCTCAGCTGCAGGTGTTGTGACGGGACCACCTCCAATCAAATGATCAATGGAGCTTTTGCATAGACAAATGAATCCCAAGAACAGAAATAAGAGAATTATATAAATCCATATAAATCATATTAAGGTGGTCTGCATTGAACAATATTGAACAATATACCATCGTGATCAATTGGGTTTTGAAGGTGCACGAGTTTGCTGGAAATGTTGTTGTAATGCGAAACCTCTCGTCGGCATGCAAGGTTAGTCTCACCGTAACATACCGCAACCATGCCTTTCAACAATTCTTGCACTACAGCAGCTACTGGCCTTCGGGAGTGGTCGTCTCCGCTGCAGGTGTGGTGACGGGACCACCTTCAATCAAATCAAGAATTACATGGAATTCTGCTGCTGGACTTTTTGTGAGATCTTCTTGCTTGCATGCTTGGTTACATTTCTTTGGAAACTTTTTGCGCGCTGCAAAAGTGCCGAATGGTGCCAAATCTTACCTGGAAGCTGTATGAAGAATCCGTGCTATCTTGTCCGGAGGGGGGTGGAACATACTTGGACTTAGGCCGTGCAACGGTGACTAGGCAAATGCAACCAGAGAACACGCATGAACACGCATTTGCCAACGTGATCTTTACGAAATCTTACAAAAGCATTCCGTTGTCTGCAGTGGCCTTGAGTGCTCGTCTCAGCTGCAGGTGTTGTGACGGGACCACCTCCAATCAAATGATCAATGGAGCTTTTGCATAGACAAATGAATCCCAAGAACAGAAATAAGAGAATTATATAAATCCATATAAATCCATATAAATCATATTAAGGTGGTCTGCATTGAACAATATTGAACAATATACCATCGTGATCAATTGGGTTTTGAAGGTGCACGAGTTTGCTGGAAATGTTGTTGTAATGCGAAACCTCTCGTCGGCATGCAAGGTTATTCTCACCGTAACATACCGCAACCATGCCTTTCAACAATTCTTGCACTACAGCAGCTACTGGCCTTCGGGAGTGGTCGTCTCCGCTGCAGGTGTGGTGACGGGACCACCTTCAATCAAATCAAGAATTACATGGAATTCTGCTGCTGGACTTTTTGTGAGATCTTCTTGCTTGCATGCTTGGTTACATTTCTTTGGAAACTTTTTGCGTGCTGCAAAAGTGCCGAATGGTGCCAAATCTTACCTGGAAGCTGTATGAAGAATCCGTGCTATCGTGTCCGGAGGGGGGTGGAACATACTTGGACTTAGGCCGTGCAACGGTGACTAGGCAAATGCAACCAGAGAACACGCATGAACACGCATTTGCCAACGTGATCTTTACGAAATCTCACAAAGGCATTCCGTTGTCTGCAGTGGCCTTGAGTGCTCGTCTCAGCTGCAGGTGTTGTGACGGGACCACCTCCAATCAAATGATCAATGGAGCTTTTGCATAGACAAATGAATCCCAAGAACAGAAATAATAAGAGAATTACTGTATATAAATCCATATAAATCCATATAAATCATATTAAGGTGATCTGCCTTGAACAATATTGAACAGTATACCATCGTGATCAATTGTGTTTTTGAAGGTGCACGAGTTTGCTGGAAATGTTGTTGTAATGCGAAACCTCTCGTCGGCATGCAAGGTTATTCTCACCGCAACATACCGCAACATACCGCAACCATGCCTTTCAACAATTCTTGCACTACAGCAGCTACTGGCCTTCGGGAGTGGTCGTCTCCGCTGCAGGTGTGGTGACGGGACCACCTTCAATCAAATCAAGAATTACATGGAATTCTGCTGCTGGACTTTTTGTGAGATCTTCTTGCTTGCATGCTTGGTTACATTTCTTTGGAAACTTTTTGCGTGCTGCAAAAGTGCCGAATGGTGCCAAATCTTACCTGGAAGCTGTATGAAGAATCCGTGCTATCTTGTCCGGAGGGGGGTGGAACATACTTGGACTTAGGCCGTGCAACGGTGACTAGGCAAATGCAACCAGAGAACACGCATGAACACGCATTTGCCAACGTGATCTTTACGAAATCTCACAAAGGCATTCCGTTGTCTGCAGTGGCCTTGAGTGCTCGTCTCAGCTGCAGGTGTTGTGACGGGACCACCTCCAATCAAATGATCAATGGAGCTTTTGCATAGACAAATGAATCCCAAGAACAGAAATAATAAGAGAATTACTGTATATAAATCCATATAAATCCATATAAATCATATTAAGGTGATCTGCCTTGAACAATATTGAACAGTATACCATCGTGATCAATTGTGTTTTTGAAGGTGCACGAGTTTGCTGGAAATGTTGTTGTAATGCGAAACCTCTCGTCGGCATGCAAGGTTATTCTCACCGCAACATACCGCAACATACCGCAACCATGCCTTTCAACAATTCTTGCACTACAGCAGCTACTGGCCTTCGGGAGTGGTCGTCTCCGCTGCAGGTGTGGTGACGGGACCACCTTCAATCAAATCAAGAATTACATGGAATTCTGCTGCTGGACTTTTTGTGAGATCTTCTTGCTTGCATGCTTGGTTACATTTCTTTGGAAACTTTTTGCGTGCTGCAAAAGTGCCGAATGGTGCCAAATCTTACCTGGAAGCTGTATGAAGAATCCGTGCTATCTTGTCCGGAGGGGGGTGGAACATACTTGGACTTAGGCCGTGCAACGGTGACTAGGCAAATGCAACCAGAGAACACGCATGAACACGCATTTGCCAACGTGATCTTTACGAAATCTCACAAAGGCATTCCGTTGTCTGCAGTGGCCTTGAGTGCTCGTCTCAGCTGCAGGTGTTGTGACGGGACCACCTCCAATCCAAGCAAGAAATTTAGCATCACTCAGTTTGCTTCATTGGTGGAGAGGCCATAAGGGATCATCAGGGGCCGTCATGAAAATGCCAAAAACCAAAGCAGTCAGCTGTCAACACCAAATACACAAAACTGCCATGTTCTAATTCGATGCCACTACCTACAACTATTGCCTTTCAGCTAATAGCTCAATTGACGCCTTCAAGGCTCGTCTGGGCGGGTGTTGCTGCAGTGACTTGGGCTTGAAGATATTGCCATTGGTTTCAGGATGGGGCATTGATGATAGTCATTTGTGTGTGGGCGCGGGAGCATGCATGCTGTTTTGTTTGCTTGTTTATTTAAGGTTTATGATTGTTTTATGTATTTATTCCTTTATTTACTTCTTAATCTTATGATGAGTTAGTTACTTATTTATTGCCTGTAGTGGTATGTTTCTCTACGCCAACAAGAAATCATCCATAGATCCCTGATATCCCGTCCAGCATGGCACCTTCAGCTAAAGCTTCTGCAGGCTGCTCTGGACTCGGTGTCCTTGTATCTGCCTGCATGTCCGTCATGTAGACAGGCCACGAAAGCTCAGATCACCACCTTGAAACTTTCTGAGCCTTCTCTCTCTCTCTCTCTCTTTCTCTCTCTCTTTCTCTCGGTTTCTGAATGCTGAGTCAATGAAACCCAAGCATTGGATTCATTGGATAGTCCGAATATTCCTGCTTTACATTACCTGGGTCGTCTAGAATGAAGGGAACAAACAAACATCGGCAAAAAAAATGTATTCCACACCCATCCGCTCCATGACGCCTGAGGAGAACTAGGATCATCTTCCTTGGCTGCCAATGAGTTGAGACAAATTGGCCTTTCAAGGTGCATCACCCTACAAGTGGCCGTTTTGCACAGTTCTTAGGTAATTCAGCCAAGGTGGGGAAGGTCTATCCTATGCACCGCGTGCCCTAACCCACGGATTAACTACCATCAACGTTGCCTTCACTCTCACTCTCCACACCTCTTTTCGAGTCCATCCAATTCCCCCATCTGCCATGTTTGTGATTCAGAGGCCCCAACTTTGCCACGGCTATCAGGAACTTGCGCATCTGTGCCTAACCAAAGTGCAAGATGTGAGGCCAATTCTGAGTAAACAATGGGGACATGTACTGCATTGCCGTTACGAAGAACCGTGTCATGTGTAAGTATTGTGGAATGATATGGAATGTTGCATATATATATATATACATATATATATATATATATATGTGTATGTATGTATGTATGTATGTATGTATGTATGTATGTATGTATGTATGTATGTATGTATGTATGTATGTATGTATGTATGTATGTATGTATGTATGATGTATGTATGTATGTATGTATGTATGTATGTATGTATGTATGTATGTATGTATGTATGTATGTATGTAATGTAATGTAATGTAATGTAATGTAATGTAATGTAATGTAATGCAATGCAATGCAATGGAATGTAATGTAATGTAATCTAATCTAATGTAATCTAATGTAATGTAATGTATGTTTGTATGTTTGTATGTTTGTATGTTTGTATGTTTGTATGTTTGTATGTTTGTATGTTTGTATGTTTGTATGTTTGTATGTTTGTATGTATGTATGTATGTATGTATGCATGTATGTATGTATGTATGTATCCCGCCTGCTTGTGCAGCTGCTCTGGTCATTGCCTGCCAAGTGTCATAGCTTTGATTGGAGCCAGTGACAAAGTGAATATGAACCCTAGCCTTGCAGAGTTACTGCTAAAGCCATGTCAGGTCTTTGGAAGTGTTTGGCCGTTTGACCAAGTGGGAATTCCACTCGGGGACAATTCCAAACTTCAGAAAGTCGTCAAAAAAAAAACATGCACTCGTAAATAGGGCGCACACGTTGCTTCATGTTGCCTCATGTTGCTGTTGGTAGTTGCTTCTGCCAGAAGTTACGAATACTTTGGGTGTTTCTTCTCATTCAAGCTTTTTTTTGCGCTTTGAGTTCCGCTTTGACCTCCGTGTGGTAGAAATGGTTTCCAAAGTTGCTTGCACGGGAAGTTTCACTCAGGGTTAAGCACTCAAACACTTGAACGCGCTTGACTTTTCGGTGGTGCATGTCTGTTATCATCTGAATGCTTTCCGAATTTTCAGTTCTGAAACCAGTCAAGCTGGCCTGCCGCAGCATCTGCCGCATTTTCAACTTTGGCTGGCTTCGAGTTTCTTTCCAAGGTGCTATCTTCGATGCTTCAAGTATCTAATAAATATATTTAAAAAAAAAAGCAAATCAAATCTGGGAAGCAGGAAATGGGGAATCAAAAAAAAACATCGAAGCAAGATGCTGGCCCTCAACTGACAAAGGATGAGCAAAATCGCCTCTGCATCCAGAACACCTGGATCTTCCGTGGCTCGATCTTCTGGAGTTGGAGAAGGTGGAGCCAGCTCATTCAGCAACGCCTCATGACTTTTGGCACTCCCAACCCACAATGGAGAGGCCCCATGCCCACAGCTCTAAGCATTCTGGGAGCAAGTTTGTTTGAGTGTTCTAGTTCACTTTCTGGTGCTGGCGGGAATGTTGGCAAAATATGGCCAAACAAGCCTCCCGCTTTTGAACTTCTGAAACAACACCAGGGGTCGCCTTCTCCATGGTGTTGAAGAGCCCCTCGGAGGCTGTGGTGGAGGCCTCAATGAACTTTTCTGACAGCAGTATCTCCCCCAAAGTCCACTTCGTGGCTGGAAACGCTTAAGAAAATATTCAAGACAAGAAGAGGGGATGGACAAGTTCCACTGCCTGGGGCACTGTTGACTTTGGGAATCCAAAACAAGGGCCGCTGGTTGTGCTTCAGAATCCAATGACCGCGCTTGGCCACAGAAGTGGTAACTTGGGATTAGTGCCGTCGGACCCTTCTCGTCTCCAATGGCCTTGCCGATCTGTCTGCAAATGTGGAAATGTGTAGAAATGTTAAAGCCTCATGCCTCATGAATGCTCTGTGGTGGGTGTGGAACTGACTGCAACCAGCCTCCAAGGCCTCCATGATGTTCTCCTCCGATTGGGAGAAGCTTATCATCGCACCCTTCTTGCCTGGCATCACTGACACATCTGTCATATCTGCTGCAGGAGAGGGATCAAACCATGAGGCATCTGGTTAAAGCGCACCTGGTTCCCCTGATGCTTGCTGATCCGCCTCCATAAGCAGATTTTCACACACCGTGCAACGGGTTCTGTGGCGGGAATGAAGGCCCATCCGCAATCGATACATGTATCATCTATGATCATCTCCGTCATCTACGTCCAAAATGGCACTGCAAAGTCAAGAACGTGAATTGAAATTGCTCATGGTCCCTGCGCCTGCAACAGGTCAGCCGATGTGATTGCATCAGGCAACTCCGAGCCCTTCGAGACCGATCAGTGTTTCAATTCATCAAAAACAGCTTGGTGTATGTAGCCCGATATCTTTTGCTCAAATCTCCAAGATCTCGTGACTTCCTAGGAGTACTTACCAAATCTATCCAAATCTTACCTATCACTCTGCAGTGTAGCAGTTCCGCTGCCTGGTCTTTCCGCAGGCTTGCCTGGTAGGGAAGTTATAGGGTGCAACAAAGGAATCCACCGGGATAGCAACTGCAAAATACTGCAAACATGTGGGTCGCCTCAAGCTCTCCAGACGCACCAAGTTCTTCAAGGATTTTGGAATCCTGAGTGCAGCAGCTGACAGTAAGGCTTCAGTTTACTGCTGCTCAGGCCATCCAGAGTATGCACCATTTTATGCCATCCAGAGGCCCAGGGGTGTCAACATCTGTTGGTCTATTTTTTAGCCAAGCCAATATATGTGGAATGTAAACATGCTGTCTATACTTTCAGTGTCTTTCAGTGTCTTTCAGTGTCTCATTGAGCCAAACCTTTCACCCCAGGATGTACACCCCACAGAACGTGCTGCAAGGTCACTGCAGGAGTTGTCATGTCGCCATCCTCCGCATGCTCCAGCTCACCCTGGGCAGAGGACCCACTGCAATGTGGAGGGCAGCGGGGGTTGAACCGTCTTGGTGAAACCCTGTCGAGTCCATCGAGTCCATCGAGTCTATCAAGTCTATGACCGGCAAGAACTCAGCAGTGCCCATGAAGGTGAGAGCTTTTCGAAGATTGTCGGAGTCATCCTCGTCAGCAATTTCAGCTCCAGTTGACAACATTCACAGGTATTAAGTAATTAAGAAAAGACTCCGGACTTCGCATGCTGCTCCAACTGGGGATCAAGCATTCGCGGCATCAGGGCCCATCATGTCGCCGATGTCCTGGCGGCAAAGTGCTACTTCCCAGTATTGAACTGCCTTCAGTAGAAACAAGGTGCACTCAAAACCCAACAGCGCTTCAACGGTTCCTGAGCCAGAGATCAAGAAACATTGCCACCAAACACACCACCCATGAAAGTCAACATCACTGCACTTAAGTGTAAAACGAGTACAGAATGGAAAAATCTCGTTTGCAAGAGATCCTGAGCCATCTCAGCCATGATATCACCCAAGGCTTTCGGACCTCAGCAAGTGTCGGCTACGATGCAAAGAACATTCGGCTATGGATCAGTACCTATAAATACAATCTTTAGATATTCTTAGGGGGGTGGTCATTCAACATCCATAAACTTCAATTATTAATAGTTATTCTTTCTACATTCACCAGTCAATTCCATGGGTTGTTGACCCATCCCCTTTTGTTTTCACCGTCTCCCAAGTGGGGCATCCTCGGAACCATCGGGCAGCCCCTGCCAGTGTCAGGCTCTGAAGCCTCTGTTTGGCTTCCAGCCTGGAACGATGAATCCAGGGCTGTCCAGTCTACTGGAATGAGAACATAGTGAGTTCTCATGATGCTGACATCTACTGACTTGTTGGTTGCTGTTACTTGATGCTGTTTAATATTGCTTGATCTTACTTGATGTTACTTGATGTTGTTTAATATTGTTTGATGTTGAATAATATTGTTTATATAATGTTGTTTGATGTTACTTGATGCTGTTTAATATTGCTTGATCTTACTTGATGTTACTTGATGTTGCTTAATATTGTTTGATGTTGAATAATAGTGTTTGATGTTGGTTGCTGTTACTTGATGCTGTTTAATATTGCTTGATCTTACTTGATGTTACTTGATGTTGTTTGATGTTATTTGATGTTGTTTAATATTGTTTGATGTTGAATAATATTGTTTAATGTTGTTTGATGTTACTTGATGCTGTTTAATATTGCTTGATCTTACTTGATGTTACTTTATGTTGTTTAATATTGTTTGATGTTGAATACTATTGTTTGATGTTGGTTGCTGTTACTTGATGCTGTTTAATATTGCTTGATCTTACTTGATGTTACTTGATGTTGTTTGATGTTATTTGATGTTGTTTAATATTGTTTGATGTTGAATAATATTGTTTAATGTTGTTTGATGTTACTTGATGCTGTTTAATATTGCTTGATCTTACTTGATGTTACTTGATGTTGTTTGATGTTATTTGATGTTGTTTAATATTGTTTGATGTTGAATAATATTGTTTGATGTTGTTTGATGTTACTTGATGCTGTTTAATATTGCTTGATCTTACTTGATGTTACTTGATGTTGTTTAATATTGTTTGATGTTGAATAATATTGTTTGATGTTGGTTGCTGTTACTTGATGATGTTTAATATTGCTTGATCTTACTTGATGTTACTTGATGTTGTTTGATGTTATTTGAAGTTGTTTAATATTGTTTGATGTTGAATCATATTGTTTGATGTTGTTTGATGTTACTTGATGCTGTTTAATATTGCTTGATCTTACTTGATGTTGCTGTTTGCTGTTTGATGTTGGTTAATATTGTTTGATGGTGTTTAATATTGCTTGATGTTGATTACTATTGGTTGATGTTGTTTGATGTTACTTGATGCTGTTTAATATTGCTTGATGCTACTTGATGTTACTTTATGTTGCTGTTTGATGTTGTTTGATGTTGTTTGATGTTGTTTAATATTGTTTGATGTTGATTAATATTGTGTGATGTTGTTTAATGTTACTTGATGCTGTTTAATAGTGCTTGATCTTACTTGATGCTACTTAATGTTGTTTGATGTTACTTGGAGCTGTTTAAAATTGCTTGATGTTACTTGATGTTGTTTGATGTTGTTTACCAATGTTTGATATAGATTAATATTGTTTGATGTTGTTTCATGTTACTTGATGCTATTAAAAGTTGCTCGATGTTACTTGATGTTACTTGGTGTTGTTTGATGTTTTTTGATGTTGTTTAATATTGTTTGATGTTGATTAATATTGTTTGATGTTGTTTGATGTTACTTGATGTTGTTGTTTGATGTTGTTTGATGTTGTTTGATATTGTTTGATATTGTTTGATGTTGTTTGATGTTGTTTAATAATGTTTGCTATTGCTTCATGTTTGTTTGATTATGTTTAATAATGTTTAATATTGCTTGATGTTGTTTGATGCTATTTAATGTTGTTTGATGTTGTTTAATATTGCTTGATGTTACTTGATGTTAGTTGATGCTGCTGTTTGATGTTGTTTGATGCTGTTTAATACTGTTTGATGTTGTTTAATATTGCTTGGTGTTACTTGCTGTCGTTTGATGTCTCTTGATGTTGTCTGATGTTGTTTAATATTGTTTGATGTTGATTAAATTTGTTTGATGATGTCTCATGTTACTTGATATTGTTGTTTCCTGTTGTTTGATGTTGTTTGATGTTGTTTGATATTGTTTGATGTTGTTTGATATTGTGTGATGTTGTTGGATGTTGTTTGGTATTGTTTGATGTTGTTTGATGTTGTTTAATATTGTTTAATGTTGCTTGATCTTACTTGATGTTACTTGATGATACTTGATGTTACTTGATGTTAGTTGATGTTGCTGCTTGACGTTGTGTGATGTGTTTAATAATGTTTAATATTGCTTGATGTGTTTGATGTCATTTAATGTTGTGTGATGTTGTTTGATCTTGTTCGATATTGTTTGATGTGTTTTGTTTAATATTGTTTAATGTTGTTTGATGGGGTGATTAATATTGCTTGATCTTACTTGATGTTACTTGATGATACTTGATGTTACTTGATGTTAGTTGATGTTGCTGCTTGACGTTGTTTGATGTGGTTAATAATGTTTAATATTGCTTGATGTGTTTGATGTCATTCAATGTTGTGTGATGTTGTTCGATATTGCTTGATGGTTTTTGGTGTTGTTTGATCTTGCTTGATGTTGTTTGATGTTGTTCGGTGTTGTATGGTGTTATTTGATGTTGCTTGATGTTGTTTGGCTTGATTTGATATTGTTTGATGTTGTTTGATGTTGTCTGGCGTTGTTTGATATTGCTTGATGTTTTTTGGTGTTGTTTGATATTGCTTGATGTTGTTTGATGTCGTTTGGTGTTGTGTGGTGTTATTTGATGTTGCTTGATGTTGTTTGGCTTGATTTGATATTGTTTGATGTTGTTTTATGTTATTTGTTCTCTTAAGATTCTAAAAATCTCTCAAGCTATCTGAATAGCCCTCAATCGCAATTGCGGCTGGCTGCTTGTGTGTGTTTGGCTTCCCGCATCGCCTTGTTTGTTTTGAAACACTTGCTTGAAACCCTTCCAAACCTCTACCTGAGATTGTTGATTCAGATGATTCATATTCCAAAACTCCCCAGAACAACCTTCCGCAACCCTGCCCTTCTAGGAAATGCTAGGAATCATTATTTCATTCAAACCATGCAAAACCTTACGGAAGCCAGTATGTTTTGCACATTGTAAGGCATGTGTCCGAACTTGAAACAACACTCATTTGCATACCTTGCATTGAAACCTCTCAGAGTCTCACAACTTGTCGGAACTTGTCCCCAGGCCAACATGTCCTTTGCAAACCTTCGACAACATGACGCCCTACAAGGCCAGACAACCCCCGCCCACACCCGGAAAACTGTTGCAAGCACAGATAGATGGATAGATAGATAGACAGACAGATAGATAGAGAGATACTTTTTATATACTATATACACTTGTATACTTATACACTTGTATACTTGTGTACTTATATACTTATATACTTATATACTTTTATACTATTATACTTATGTACTTATAAAACTTTATACTGTACTTGTGTACTTATATACTTATATACTTTTATACTATTATACTTATGTACTTATAAAACTTTATACTGTACTTGTGTACTTATATACTTATAATACTTACATACTTGCATACGTACATACATACTTATATAATTACTCATATACTTATATGCTTATATGCTTATATACTTATATACTAATATACTTATAATATACTTATAATATACTTATAATATACTTATAATATACTTATATACTGAGTCTATATTGCTTCTAGCAAATAAAGATATTCGAAGACCTCCCCCGAAGTGTGTTTATGCAGCCTTCGCTCTGAATGAATTTGCTGCCATCAGTTGGCTTTGTTTCTTTGGCAGGCCTCCGCAGCCTCCTTGGAACCACTTCCTCTATCTCTGGACTTTCGCCGGGGCTTCCTCCATGTATGCCCGGCTCTGTCTTTTTGGAGTAGGCCTCAAGGTGCGCTGTGAGATGTGATCACAACATATCATAACAATGACCCAATGGCAGTCGTTGCAAAGGCACAGGTTTGCAATTCTGCGTGCAACACCTCCAGCTCAGGGACCGTCAAAGAAAGCATGAGGCTCCGGCATTCCTTCGGCGAGTCTATTAGCTCCTCAGCACATGAGAACATCACAATTGCAGTTCTTTCCTGCGATGAAGAGGACGACAGGTTCTATCTGCATAAGCCAAGCAGCGTGGAACTGCACAAGTTTCTTGACCTCAGTCAGGGGTGGAGGGGCTGGCACGTGCTGCACAAATTACGAGTAGCATGCAGGCTCACCCATTCAGATGGTGGTGCTATTGGGAGCTCAAGTTCATCTGCAATTTCGCCCAAGAGGTTTGACCAAGAGCAAATGTACAAATCACATCGGCTGGGTCGATATGGATCGCCAGCTACGCTTGATTAAAAGCATTTATCGGGGTTTCTCAGTTGATTCGAAAAATAGAACATGCAGAACAAGTGGCACTCTTGTTGGAAACGAAGGCGACCTTCACCTTGTGTGTGAAGATATGCAGTGACAGGGAGGACAAAGCATGACGAAGCAATGAACTCTGAGTCTTCATGAATAGCTTTGCATCTTTGACAGTGGTCCCACATCTGTCTTAAAAGTCTTCAGAAGCTCTCCAGCCTGGCGCGTTCTGGAACAAACATCTCTGATCTGCACAGGCAGCACGCGATGCTGGCTCGTTGACCACCAATACGCCTCGGAAAACAGTTCGATGTCGAATCTCCCCTTCTTCACAGCTGAACCTTCAGGATTCCAATGTCGTGCACAAGAAAGGCTGAAGCTTTGGTGGTGCTGAAGCCAATAGACTCAATAGATCCCGGCAGCTCAAATGCCAGGCAAGTGGCCACACTACCAGGCCGGACCCAATCTGGAAGTTGTTGATAAAGCTCTTTGGCCTTGCCGCATACATCAAAAAGGCTAAGTGGCTCAGCACGCAAAGAAGTCGATGTGGACACGGCTGCACACGTAGTTGGACAAATCACGGCCCGCCTTTGGATGGAATGGATGAAGAAGCCAAGCATCCTGCAGGACAAGTCGTCAAGAGATGAAGTTCATACTGTTCATACACTGGATGTAGCTTGGACGTAGCTTGGACGTCGCTTGGAAGCTGCGACCGTGCGACGCACCATGACGCACCTCTTTCTGCTTGAAGTGCTCGAAGGGAACCATCTTCCAACAGGAGGTGTCCTGCAGCATTTGAGAAATCGACACCAGCGAACTCTCAGAGAATCCTCACCACGCCCTGCCTGCACAAAGGTGACCTGGGCTGAACGTGTCACTGGCACTTGGGAAAACCGGTGATGTTTTAAAGGAGTCACATCTGTATGGTATGGTATGGAATGTAATGTAATGCCAATGCCAATGCCATGTAATGAAATGTAATGTAATGTAATGCAATGCATGAATGTGTATATATATATATACAAACCTCATGGGAGAACATCAAGTTGAAATATTAAAGAACAATGGATTCATCTTCGATTCGCCAAGGGACAGTGACTTGCCGAGCGGATTCATCCACCGCTGTGATGTTCACATCGCAGAACTGCTTCTGTGAGTTGGACCACCACCTCATGTGATATGGGCATCTGGTCCACTGGTTGAACACTAAAAATGGGCAAACAAAGGGCATCCCAAGGGCCGAAAATTTATAGTTGGACATATTTGGACCATCTCCGTGTAGAATATCAATGTCTAATGAGATTATATAACATCAGACAGTATCATACACATTAGATTGCACACCCCGGTGCAGAGAGAAGTTGTGGGTGGAGAGACCACGTTGGAAGGTGTTGTTGAACTGAGGCCCCAGCCTAGCCTTTTCACCCACCTCAAAGCATGTTCAAACTTCCGATAAAGGCAAGTGACGCACATTTCATGGATGCCCAGCAAGGTTTTCATCTGGATCAGGCCTTGATCCAGTCAGGCAAATCCTGCACGAAAATCGACGATGTGGCAGGTCGGAAGGACAGTACTAGAATCATCTAGAATTCACTCCCAGTTCCGGAATTCCTGAGTGCATGTGGTTGAACCATGTTCAACACATTTCCTATCATGCTCGCCATGCTCCATCCCTTGCGCCCCACATGACCTTGTCGGGCGCATCACCTTGGTGATGGAGCTGGTGAAATCACGCTGTTCCCCTAGTGACCACTCCCAGAGCCATAGCTGCCATAGCTGCCATAGCTGCCACACTTGGGGCACCAAACCAGGCTCCACAATCAACACATTGCGAGGCAGCCATCCCTCTGTGCGACCCTCCTGCTCCGCTTTCCATGACATTTTTTCATGCAACACATGCTGCTGAAAATGCCATTGGGATATATATATATATTCTGATACATTGGGATGCTGCTTTTGGCCCGGGATCCTCTAAGCGGCACCATGCCCAGTCTGCATTCTCCTCAAGTTGTTGACTTTCCAAGTTGAAACAAGTCGAAAAAAAGGCTGGAACGACAAGGCAGCAACATAGACTCCCTAGCAGCACAATTCGCACCGATAGAAACCAGAATGAGACTTTCTTCCACTGTTGGCTTATCCTCCATCCCGCTGAGGGCTGGGCTGCATCGATGATGAACACCCGTGCACCCGCCGCAGCACTGAGCTCATGCTCGCTATTGCCCACCACCTGGGCATGCAAACATCTGCCAATACACTTTCAATACACCATAATTAAATAATGATACACCTGGAAAATAGCCACATCACCACGTCTCCAATGTGCCTCTACCACTGTACTGGCATACTTGCCAGTGGCGCTCTGTGATAGGCCGTGTTGCGACCTGCAGGGTGGCTCTGCCGGTAGCATGTCATGCAATGGCAAACTGTTCAACTGGTTTTTGCTCCCCTGCGCGATGTCCATGACAACAAAAACTGCAGGCTCAAGATGGCTCAAGAACAAAACACTGTTGAAGAAATCACAAATCACATTTGAGGGTCCAACAAAGCTTCAGTGATTTGCTGCAACTCGGTACCAAGGTAGTAACCTGGGAAGACTTTGGTTTTCAGCATTGTCAAGTCAACTAGTCTATAGTCAACTGTCAAGAAACGATCGCAAGGGTAAGGGCTGAACAGAATTGCATGCATTTCTCCATCCACTCAGGATCTGCACTTCGATCTTCTGGCTTGGCCTACCAAGCCAACGAACAAATGCTTTGACCATTGAAACACTATATAAAGGAACGTGCTAATCTGCGGCCATAAACTTCAACCTATTGACCTATTGAAATCTCATCCAGTCGCCTCCTTGAGGTATGTCTCCAACTGCACAGCATACGTGACAACCTCATCCAGCACGACAACTCGCAGATTGCTGAAAATCCATGGCTGCTAGGCTCCTATCTGCCGTTGCCTCATCAAGTGCTTGAAGAACGAGCCGGTGCCATTTTGACCTTTGATGGCGATCATGATTGAAGCAGTTGCGTTTGAGACAGGTTGAGACATGCTCGTTTTGGTCATTTTGTCGAAGTCGCAACACTTAGGCACCAACGCTAGCATGGCCTCTGAGCGATTGTCTTGAAGGTAGGCATCTGTCACCCAGCCCATCTGCCTGCAGGGAAACAGCACCACCAGCATCAAAAATGCATAAAGGACGTGGAATTGAAGAATCGTAAACCCTGGGGGCCGTCGCCCCTCATCTCCCCATCCCTCCAAGGGTGCCAAACAAACAGACCTGAACATTCTGCATATGGTGGGCCATGTGGCATTTAGCTGAACTTTACCAAAGTCCCAAAACGAACAACACGTCTTTGCTCGCTGCATCATCCAGACATCACGCGGTTGCGCGTGCAAGCCCTTGCAACAGGAACGAGTTGAGCCAAGCCTTTCGACAGAACCAGGGAGCTGCGGGCCTTAGGCTTCGGGGGTTGGTCAGTTGGATCGGCTAATGGTGGCCACAGCAATAGTTGTGAGGTGATTATAAGTTGACTCGCACCCCCTTATGGGTGGAACATGGTGGAACTGCAATGATCTGGTGAGTTGAGGATCTTGCCAGCCCACAAGCAACACTGCGCCCAGCCACTATAGTGTCGGCTGATCACCTGCAACGTACAATGACGAACCCCACCGTTGAAGCCAACTGATAAACAACAAATTGCTCCAAGCTTGGCTTCCATGTCTGGCATAGTTTTGTGACAGCGTCCAAACGTTGCACACACTTGGCAGCGCGGGTCATATTTTCAAACCTAGCTCCATCAATGAACGCTGTGAGTGAAACATTCAGGCACGCACAAGTTCAGACCAACAAAGCCAGCAGCCACTTTTGAACCAGCGAGATGATGCGATAACGTCTTTTCTATGCTCCTTTGCGTAAGCACAACATGACTTACAAATATTCTATGCAAATATTCATATTCATTCCATAGTTGGACCAAGAGTGACCAAGGGCATCCAAGAGCTCTCTCAGTGGCTCGCTGGCAGAGATCAGGCATATCATCCTTGCGTGAGTTTCAGGCATCTCGAATTGGTTAAAGCATGTTAAAACTGCAATTTGACAGCGAAGCAACCAGAACCAAGCCACGCCTGTGCCTGTCTGGCAGCTGCTAGCAGCTAGTAGCTAGCACTTGAAGAGTCCGGAAGCCTTTTGCAGGAACTGAAACACTTCAGTCGCCATCTTGACCTTGGTCACAAGTGGTTGGCAAGAAAGACTTCAATAAAGCGCCTGCGTTTTGTCAAACGCAACCTGGCAGCTTTGTCTGGATTCTTATCTGGATGCCATTCCCGCAGGAGCTTGCGATAGGCCTTTTGCTTTTCCTGCACGGTATGGGTGACCAAGTAGAGGCACCATGAAATGGCAACGCTCATCGCATGAGAGGTGCAAGGTACAGCTGCAGCACATCGGGAGGTATGGCCCATCATGGCACCTTGCCATCTTTCATGTCCTGCAAGTTCTGCAAATGCCTAGGCCGCTTGATTTCCAAACACAAATTTAAGATATTCCAGATAAGCCACCAGTTTTTAAGTACAATCAAGGAGGCCATTTTGCAGCTAGCAGCTAGCGTATCATTGTCGTTTTGCCACCGGCAGGACCAGCAGGAGCATAACCCAGCAGCAAACACACAACCAACCCTGGCAGCTGCTATGCACAAGCCGGGTTGCTGCATGGCGAGGCGCTTCGCTTCGGTGGCATCATCAGGCCTTGATGTGTCATGAACTGCATCAGTTGAATGACCTTGCTGTAAACGCAGCTCCACTTATCTCCATACATCTCCAAGAAACCGATAGATATTATCTATTCATGCATGTGAAGAAATGATCACGGTCACCACAGGGCCATAGGGCACTTGCGTTCACTTGCATCGATTACGAAAGCCCTGTACTTCTCATAGATATACTTTCCAAACAAGCTGGCAGTCATCAACCAACCAAGGCATTCAGCAGCCCAAAGAAATTCCAAGTGTCTTCTCCGTTGCACTCTTGGAAGATGAACTTTTGCTGGAGGAACTTCCTCAGCCGAATGCTAACGATGCTTAAGTTCTCTTCCGGAATGTTTTTTTCCTCAAACCTGCCTAGAAAATGCCTGACGGATTTGCATCAACCAATGTCAACCGTTTGGATATTACATCCATTGCCTATGCCTTCCAAAGAATCAGTTTTGCAAGAACAAAATGAGGTGAGAATGCGACAGCAACAGTGATAGGTAATGATAGGTATGTGCTCACCTGGGCTGTCGGATTGGCAAATTCCCGTGCCCTCAGAGTGGCGCATTGAACTATTATGGTTTGGAACAATCCCCATAGAACTTGGCATCCATCATTATATGTCCATATCCGTGCGTGTGTCTTCTTGGTGGTACAACATCTCTAGAACTTATGTGTCATTCTCAAGCGATTAAGCCAATAGCTCAATACACCAATACCCCCAAAAAAATGAATAATCTCGTCCGATAAATTCAATGAATACATCTGAATACATGTTGAATATTATACATGAGATACACTCTGAATATCTCTGAATACACCTCAGCTATAGACCACTTTGGGCACTGAGCACACTGAGCCACTGCTTCGACTTCGACTCCTCCGTTTCCGCGCCGGAGGGGTCCGCGGCGTTCGACTTTGGGGCCGTCGCCTTGGGCTCGGCGTATCCCTTCGCGCGCGTTCGATGGCTGCGGCGGCTTGGCCCACGCCCCTGAGATCATGGGCCCCGGCCTATTAGTCGACTATTGGTCCCATGTTCCCAAACCAAGGACTTCCAAAGACTTCCGACTTTCATCTTTAGTTTCTGTTTAGGAAATTTCAGGTTGGAAACTATTCAGATATATTCAGATATCATCACTTTTAATGGTGTAATAAGATTTTCCGGAACATGAGTTCAGACCAGGGAATTGTCTCTGCAAACAGCACGGGCAAAAAATATTCTGTGACTGCAAAACACCACAGCACTATCAGGATCGGCTATCTCTTCTCTACCATTCCAGAGGGTTCCAGAGTCATACCGTCATACCGGGTCTCAAATCCTTGCCGATTCTTGAGCCAACAAGGGTTCCACAATGTTCCACAATGCTGCATGGCTTCTCCCCAGCCCTTCCTTCGGCCTTTGCTGGGCACTCAGCGGCTTAACTTGCCCACAGAGAGTGCACCGAGCTTTCATGGTCAAGTTTTTCCCGCCACAGGGGCAGATCCACCCCATCCAGGCATTTTCTGCATTGTCCTTGGCCAATGCTGGGGTCCACGTTTGGGGGCATGCAGCATCCAGGACTAATGTAGCCCAAAATAGGCTGACATAGGCTGACTAAAACACAATGAATTCAAATCTAGCTGCTCGCTGGGCCATCTTCTCTGCTATCCGCGCCTGAGCATAGGCTGAGAGCAGGCCAGCTGCACGAGAGAAACCATCCGACCCCAAAACATCAAAAGCCAGCCTGCATGGACTCCTTCTTGTTCGAGCCTCACAAGCTTGGAAGGCAAGCATCAGCAGCTCCCCAGGATTGCACATCAGAAAACAAAAATTCTACATGTAGCATCATGTATTTCAACATATTTCAACTCTGGTCGACAATTTCTGCCCTGAAAGCGATCTAGATTTAAACATGTTGAAGTGGATTTGCTAGGCCGTCCATGTTGATCTGAGCAACCACTTCCAGAGCTGGAGCTGGAAGAGCTCGAACTGGAGCTTGAGACAACTTTCACTGCTCCATGCATGGCCGGCAGGTCTTACCAGGTGCATGGGGGCGCTGTCGCAACTGCACCTGGCAG